TCACTGCTTCATGACACAGTACTTCAAGCCCGGTTTGAGATCGATCTCGTGCCGAGTGCCTTTGTCATTAGGCAACTCGCAAGGCACGAATTCAAGGAACATATCCTTGAATTCGATCAAATCCTTATACAAAGGATTTGCCTGAAGCGACTCCCAGGATTGAGACGTGTATCGTTCAGTCCGAGTCTTCTCATCGAGGACACTTTCGTCCATCGATGAGCTGCTGAGAACCCGTTCGTTCTCAGCAAATACTGTGGCCGACCGAATATCGGCCACATACTCATCCTCTGTGACGAGTATGCAGATCTGCTTGTTTCGACACTACGCAGATCACGCAAGAACCGTTTCGGTTTTATCGTTGGAATTAAGTTATCTCCGAAGTTAACTTTGGAGGCACAATCAGATCAAGCGTATAAGCGCCTACGCTTGATCCGTCATTAACCAAGACGTTCAACGTCTCGGTTCCTTCCTGGGAACTTCGTTTCACAGGTTGATGAGGGCCTAATCCCTAAGTAATTAACTCTTGAGGAAGTCCTTCCTCAAGTACGTGGGGACTTATTCCCTCTACGTCTTCTGACTGTGGCTGTGCAACCACAGTCAGGTACCGATCATCTACGGTCGATTCTCCAGTCGACCTAGAATATCCGTGTTGCCGCTTGTGGGAAACCGGTTTACTCTTGCTAGGATGTCGCCCGCTAGACATACGTCCATGCCCCGGTCCACTCGACTTATTCGAGTGGTGGACCTTCAGCGCTGCCTTTACATCTGTACAGTCGCCGGGAGCTTGCTCCACAGTGTAGTGATCAACTACTCTGTGATCTTGTGCAGTCGTGCAAACGACCGAACCGCGAGTGAGGCCAACGCACTCACTCGCAGAACATCCACACTCTTGTGGACGCTCCAAGATGTTCATCAGATGGCCATCTGATGAACAAGTGGCAGGCATCTTCACGGATCGATGCTGCCAGCTCACCCTTGGCTCGTACTTTCTGAGCCAAGGTAATCCCAGTATGACATCAAATTTGTCATCCAGATCCAGTACGATGAAGTCATCATCGTACTGTTCATATTTTAACGTGTAGTGGATTCCGATTACACGTTTCTTAACGGTAATCGATGCGCCTGTTGCAAGGCGCACCGTCATCCTCGTGAGGGGAATGTCGCGCTCAACGAACTTGAGCCTACGACCCTCTAGTGACTGGCGACGAACAAAGTTGTTCGACGCCCCACAGTCTACTAGGGCACGAAGCGACAAATCATTTTTCGCTTCCAACTTCAAAGTGATGAGCAAAACGTCATTACCAGGTGCAGAGACTCACAATGATTGTGTATCTAAAGCAACTTTCGTCAAGAGATTTGCAAATTCTCTTGAGGTTGCTGGATCAGTAGGGCGCTCCGCCCCTACTGACCCCGACCATTTTTTGATGGTCCGTTTCGCTGTTGCGGCTTCGCAACAGCGCTGGACCCACGCCCATTGCCCTTTCTGGTAATTTGTCGTCCAATTCGCTCAGTACTGCTTGGTACTGGGCGTGGAGCACTACACTTGTATGCGTAGCGCCCTAACTTCTGACAGCGATTGCACCTCTGCAATCGCTTGTTGTTTGAAGAGCGAGGTCTCTCGCTCTCAACATAGCAGAGGTCCATTGTTTCTGGACCTCCGATCTCTTGTCGTCTTGGTGGACGGTAAGAGTTTGAGCTAGCATGAGCCTGTCTCATGCTAAAGTCTTCCTGTTCCGCGGCTGATATCGCTTCTTCAAGCGTATTCAGCTCAAGGCGGAACAGGTGGCTCCTGACGGGCCCTTCTGCGAGCCCTTGCATGAACACCGTAATCAACGTGTGTTCATGAACTGGGTTAGCAGTTATACTACTCGCTAGGAGTCGTATATGTTGTGCGTAAGCGTCCACATCACGCTTATCCTGCTTGAGTTTCAGGAGCTCAGAACGAGCCCTGAACTCAGCTCGTGGCGGCTCAAACGTTTGTCTGAGCCGGGACTTGAAGTCATCTAGCAACCTAAACACATTTGGGTCGCTACTCTCGAGCCCCAGGGACCAAGTTTTGGCACGTCCTGCCAATTGGGTTTGAGCAAATGTGAGTTTCATTTGCTCATTTTCGACGCGACGAGCCCTTAAGGCTCTGTCGAGTTCGACAAACCATACCAACAGGGAGTCCTCCGGGACTCCACTGTACTTGGAGATGTCAACTTTCATGACTTCGGGACGACGCGCATGTGCCGTCCCGCCCACAGCAGCATGGAATTGCTGCTGTCTCAACATCTCTGTCTGTTGAGCACCGAGTTCTCTCAACTGCCCGGCCTGTTGAGAGCCTTGCTGGTGAAGCAAGGCTACTTTTTCCCTTTCGGCGACAAGTTCACTTTGTATGAACTTGGCTATAGCGGCATGTTGTTGGTCTCTGTCTAGAGACTCCAACATGGCGCTAATGGCGAACTCGCCTACGGTAGAACTCATTCGTTCTACCGCACTCCATTCGATGTCACTCAAATGGTTAAACCCTTCACTCGTGGCGTGAAAGGTTTCTTCATCATCCAACATGTTCATGTTGGATGCTGTGGTCCTTGGAAGGACTACAAAGTGCTACCAGGTGTAACGGGGCACACCCTTGCGTGAACTTAACGCAAGGGTTTGGGTGCCCCGACAGACGTACACGAGGCAAACGAGGAAGCGTAGATTAGGGATAAGTAAAACTGTTGTATTAATATAATTAAGTCTTTTAACTACCGTCTCTCTGTTTAACCTGACTTGATTATGTTAATATAACTGAGTGTATGGTGACGTCTCGTCACCACTCATTGCGCGCGTCCTGCGGTGATTGGTGGGTTGATATCATCACGATATCAACCAATGAGTAGACCCTTCGGTTATCTTCAACAATATCATCATGCACTGTGATATTGTTGAAAGAATTTACAACTTCATATTCTTTATTGTCACTTTCTTTAAAGTGACAATTCCATGTAACGGGCTGCCCCGTTATATTATACGAGACGATGGGCCTTGAAAACTTTGTGCTGTCTCGTGTTGCAGGTTTGACGAAGATGCAGCTAAGCGCGTCGACTCGGCTTTCTTGGCCACCGATGCCCCAGGATGTACAAGACGCCCATCTGGATAACGCGCTCCTATTCAGTGGTTGCATCTCATCTCTCGATCCAGAGCACTGGTACAAGCAACTGCAGGCGTCGAATGCTCCAATTGACATTCCAACCGCCGATACCATCATCGCGTTGAGGACTAAGTAGCAAGAGCAAAGTCATTCGTTCACGACGTTGCAACTAGCATGGAGGAACAGCAATTTCGGTTCTGGGAACTTCAGAGGCTCTTTACCTGAGGAAGTGTGTACGCTGCTGGAACTTGACAAAATGTCCCTTGGACCCTCTTGGAACGACATAGCTGCCCGTCTCGTGAACAACCCACGACATTGGATGGGGGCAGCCTACCTGCGTCACGTCGACAAGCGTGACCCTTATGCGGCGTTGTTCAACTTCTATCATCATGTTTTCACAATCGAAGAATACGCCAAGGAACTTGTCGCAGCAATTGTAGCAGTGGCCGCGAATCGAATGCGTGCAATGTTGCATAATGAGCAGATACATGGTCTGGAAAAGGTGGAGATTGACATTGACAGGCGGCGCATTGCGATTCACGAGAACGGTCCACCGGCCACGCGAAAGAGCGAGGCCACGAGCCTCGAATCGATGCCGCGTCAACAATCAATAGTAAATGTTTACATGACTCAAATCGACTTCGTGCGACGGAGTAGAGCACGAGCGTTCAACTCGCGTCACAAACTCAGATGCAGTGCTCCCTTTTTTGTCCATTGCGTCCAAAGAAACGCGTGGCAAAGAATGCTCTTCGTACACCGCTTGACAACATGGGCGTCAGCACTTGTATCGTACGTTTTACAAGCGCAATCTTGTAATGACAGCTTGCTAGAGCAATCCAAGTTCTGTTTATAGAATCCGAGCAGTGGATCGCTGTCAATGCTTGCGCTTCTAATACTCATATTATACATTCCCTGGCACGATAACTTGACCCTGTTGTGCAGCTGGCATTTTTTTACCAACGTCATCATTGGATGCGCACAGTCGGCTTGCGTGTTCGCGGGAGTGAGTGGTTAAAGCTGGCACTTGTGTGGTTGCGTGGATGCCGTACAGGTACCATGAATGTTGCTTTCGCCTTGCTAGTCACGTAGGTGAAGACCACAGCGTACTTGGCAGGAAGATACACCTTTGACAGTAATCCCATCAGTATTGCGTCGCTTTCTCCTCTCGCATACACCATTTGGCTCGTCGATGCATCCCTACCAGTAAGCAATCGATACGAAGCAAAAAGTGTCCGAACTGGATAATCTGGATTGCCACGTGCAAGCTGTTATCCAACGGCGCTCTAGCATTCTTTGTCAACTTGTCTTCTCTTCCAGCTGCTCTTGCCTTCACAAAGGACACCAACGTACGGCAATCAGTAGGTCCCAGTCCAGATTCCATCACAACGGCTTTTCGACTTCTTTTCTGTTTCTTCAGTCTATCGTGGAAGCAGCCTCCATGACAGCAATGTAGTCAACTCGACACTGACACCGTCTATCGTGTTTGTCTAGGCAGCTGTGCGTGCCGCCTGTCAAAAAGAAAGATGTGTACCCAGCGCGCACATCACACCCAAGCACGTCAGTTGGTACCAGCGTTATTCTCCAGACCCAGTGTAGAAGGGTGCACCGTCCGAATCGTTGACGCATTTGGTAGTGCGACAATTGCTAGTCGTCATCCGTTCTTGGCTTATCATTTAGGTCGTTCATCTCCCAGCTATCTCCACGAAAACGAATGGCACCTGATCACCAACGCAACCATTTTTCACTCATTTGTCCGGCGACCCAAGACTGTGCAGTCCGTGCTGCTTCTGCTTCCGCGATCAGCTTGCGTTTTGCTCTACAAGATCGTTCCTCTTCATCTTACCACAATCGCCGTTTCTAGTTTCCGCTGCTGCATAACAATTCAGGTACCAGCTATGCACGCAGCCACTCGCTCCTCGGTCTCTTTTGCAGTCCTGTGATACAAAGAGGACATGTGTTTTGTCAACCGCATGAAAAAGCGAACAAACACAAAGTACGCAGGCCAAACCTCCAAGCTTGTAAAACCACAGGCTCATCCGCTACTGACTTGTGCACGTCTGAGTAGCCAGGAGTAATTCGCTGACCGCGAACATCGTCACGCGTCTTGCCATCTGCAGCCATGTTCGCTATCTTGGTCTTCATCAAAACGAGATCGCTAAGACAGTCACGAATAAGGCTGCTTCGGTCAAATTCTTCTAATAACGTTGCTAGACCATATTGAGAGCTACAGCGACAACCAGAAGACACGAGTATTGTGAGGGCAACGGAAGGAAAGCCAAGACAGCTCGAACAAAAGGTGCAGTACCTGTCCACCGATGCAACGGTATCGTCAGTGCCCACGCAGCCATCTTCCACGCAGTTCAACAGCGCGTCGAGAGCATATAGCTTGATGAAGAACGTGTATGCCGCGATTCCCGCTAAGCGAGATGTCTCGCGCATGTAGTTCTTGCCCAGTCCTCGAGCTTGTTTATCAGTGTACACAGCCTCTCCATCCGCAAGATAAAGTTCTGCTTTGCCTTCTGCGGTCACAAGTTCCACACGAGCGTCTACACAAACAACAGAGTCAGTCATCGTGCGCTAAACGCTCCACGCGAGCTAGCCTACCTTTCATGTACTGGACAATCTCCGGGCGAAAGATGTCGGACTCAATAAGCGTGCGCTTTGATTTGTTTCGCGAGCGAAATTTGTCTTCATTCCGGAGCACAGTGAATACGCTGTTGGAAAGCACCCATCTACCGGATACCGCGCAAAACACGTCATCTTCAGTGTGTAAGAGCCAACAACCTTGCCAAACTTTGTGAAACGTACCCTGGCGAGATTTCATTGATCGCTGGAGATAGCGATAATACGTGATGACCTGGTGTGTTGATCAGCGCAAACGGCATTGCCACCAGCTGCGGTAGCGTGTTGACCGCAGTCGCGATAACAGAATACGGCGCCCTTACGAAATTGGAGGGGAACTTGACATTGCACCCCAATCCAAAGAACACTCCCTCACCATGAAATATCTCCTGGTCAGGTGCTTTCAGAGTGTGATTGCTGCCAACGTTAGCGCCGTACCCAACGTTTCCTTTGCCTTTCGGCCAGACCGAGGCAATCAATAGCGCCTGATGGTGAAACCCCACAAACGGTCCCACGAAACTGGATGTCACCTCTCCTGCAGCGATCGACGTATTCGGTCCGATCACAGAGCTCGTGACAACCCCATGCCGCGCAACACGCGACGTATCGCACAGAAATGACCCTTGGACAATACTGAGAGTCTCAACGGTTGAGTTCCACTGCACGATCGAGTCACAGACACTGCTTTTGCTTCGGACAACAGACGGTTCTTCCGCAGTCGACAAGATCGTCGAGTTGACAACGTTGCAGTCTTCGACGACTGCAGCCTTTCCGACAAACGTACTTTGGACACGAAAACAGCCCCGAACACGAGCGTGCGGTGCCACGATTGTCATTGGCACTTGGACCTTTGCAATATACTCGTTTACAACCGTCTCGTACATTGTCAAGAACGCGGCCTCTCGCCTCGTCCTTGTAGCAAGAGCTGCTACCACAGCAAACGGTAAATCGGCCACGACACGAACACCGCGACCGCCTGTCTCAACACCCACGTGCACCAACCTGCCGTTAGCTGCTGTAGTTGCTCCTGCTTTACCTCCTGCTACGTTTGCTGCGTCTGGACCCGTGACGCTACCACACTTGATCACGGACGCTCGAGCGTCCACGAGCACGTGCTTGAGCACAAGTGTGTCCCTCACGAGCGCGTCGTCCAGCACGACAACGTGACTCAGCACCGAGTTGTACACACCACAGCAGAACGGCACGCCGTCGACATTGTGGCGGAAGGTGGACGAGAAGCTGCCGAGCACGACTTTTCCGTGGAAGACGCACTGGCGGACACGCGACGTCTGCAGTGGTACGTCCGCAGAGGTCTTCCGCACCTGTTTCCAGTCTTCCGCTGCAAACAATTGCACGTGGGGGTAGTCGTGAGCATCAGATGGACCTGTAGGTCAATATCTGAGTCGCCTGATACCGTGAGCACGTACCCGAGTTCCCGTTCGCTTCGAGCGCGCAAATCTCTGCGTCTGTGAGCGGGAAAAACGAGCACAAGAAGAGCTCGTGACAGGTCTGGACGTACTGCACGTGGTCAGACGCAAGGAGCGCCGATAGGTCGGGCGCAAGCGCGTCCGAGACGCCGTCCAGTAGCCGCAACGCGTCCATGTCTCGTGGCGATGGCTGTGTGTCGATCGTTTTTGTTTTGTCCAATCAGAAGACGCAGATGGAGGTGGACTCGCGGATTGGTAGAAACAAAAGACACTGTGTAGTTAGATACGGCGTGACCGGATACGATGCCAAACGTGTTTTTCTATGAGTGTTTGACACGCCGTTTTGCCACTATGCAATCTAGCCACTGTCAGGGGAGTGATCATAACAGCATACCGCGATCATTGTGCCGTACTGGATTAATGTCCAAGGAAGGCCTAGAGCGTATTATCGGAAGTGAGAGGCGAGTAGAGCGTAATGCTGTCAGTATAAAGGTGGAACCTTATGATGCCTCCTTTTCCATACGCGGCCTTGTTGTGTCGCGCAGTACGTCATGCAGCCAAATGCATTCATTCGTACATCATCAGTGTCCTGGACATTGTTGCAAACTTGAAACGACAGAAGTGTTGCCTAGCATTCCAGACTACATTGTCATCGCTGATTACTCGATTGACAAGCACATTTTCTGTCGTAAACGGACGGTTCTGCTGAGTTTCTAGCTCCTTTGGTGGCCAGCATCTACTCAAAGCGTTGCTACGACTACTAGAATGAAACGACCAGCTGTCAGCGCCCCCCCACCTGGTTTATCATTCTTTGGCTGACACACTTGTTGTAATTGTAACAATGCGCGAGGAATGAGCTGCTGTCCACGTTCATGCCCTTGAAACGAAAAAGTGATTTGAACTGACTTGTCACGGGTATGACTCCGGAGAAGGCGGCGCATTGATTGAGCAGCCGTGACCCGATTTGAGCTTCTGCAGACGAATCGTGCGATGTGCTTCACCACGGATGTCTTCAAACATACGCATAACCGATCGATGAGCATTCGGTTGCGTTTCTTTCGGATCTCTGTCGATCACACTTGTGGTATGGTACCGCAATTTGCTAACTGAGATCGTGTTAGGTAGTTCCTCGTGCATTTTCGAACAAGCTGCTTGTGACAGCGCTATCTGCGCCGCATACAGTTAGTCACAAAGCAGTATGTCCTCCACTAGCTACGAAAAGAAGCGCGGTTATCGTAGACCGGGCCGTATCATCGAAATAGATGGCTTGTTTGCTATGGCGTTTGATGGCGTGAAAAACGCTAGCACTGACACATTTAGTGTAACGAGGCAAAGTAAGATCACATCAGCAGTCAGTGTGGCTTTTTGAATACGAGAGAGATGGTAGGTATGACAACAAGTAAACTGAGATAACAGGGAAGTACTAGCGGGGGACATTTGCAGATCGAGGATGGAACTTGGGCATTTGTGCATTGTTCAGGTTGCGTTTCTGTGGTGTTAGCCTTGTCCGGACACTCCCTCGCCAGTTCAATGGCAACGTCATCCACACCAAATCCATATCATACTTCGAAGTCGACTGCATGTCAAGTACGAGGAACATTGCGATTGGACTTGAGTAGTCGTGCGTTCCATTGTACATCAATGAGAGCGTTCATCTCGCTTTGCAGTTGTCTGCACGGCCGGACGGACACAGCTTCTCATCTCTCTCACATGAGGATATAGTCGGCTGGATGTGAACAAAGTTTATACGAGACCGCAGGTGGCTGAATAAAGAAAGCGTATGATTCCTCGGTCACTGTCCTCTGCAAGTTATCACCGAGTCGCAAGTGCTCAGTTGGAGGCTCATCGCATGAATTGACGTTGGTCGTTGGTAAGAAGATCTCCAGCTCTGTGTTGTCTTTGCTGCATCCACTACATCGCATGAAATCAATCAACTCGAGCAATCCAGAGCTTTGTGTTTCAGAAGACACAAGGTCGAGCGGCTGACGGAATGTGAAGCGTAGTAGCGAGTTTTAAGAGTCGAAACTGGTGAAAGAACTACTGAACATGCGTCCGTGGCAATGGACCGAGTATCTATATTGGGTAGCGTTAGATTATCTTCGGGACAAAAGAGCATCAGCCGCAGAATACGCGACGTGCTAGAGAAGGATGTATAGGATCCGACCTCGAAGTACTCGTGTATCGAGAGGAAGTGCCATTTAGGGAAAGCCACAAGTATTGTTTGATCGAGTTCGTTTCGTAGAAACGCGGCAAAACGTCGATCGGCATTTTGCGGTAGATGTTTCGTCAATGCAGCAAAAACCACCTTACAATTATGACAATGAACGTGAGGAGGACATTTGGTAGCGAACCTTACAAATGTGCTCGTGGAGCATTCGTATTGCCGGTGGGATGAAGATAGTGCGGAAGTTGTTATGAGCACATGTCACATGCCATTTTCGTAGATCAGCTTAGATACATCGCGGCACGATTGCGAGAGGGTATGCTGTGCAAGTCATCGTTTCCGCAATCTTTTTGACGTACTGAGGTTGACGCTACCTTGTTTCAATATTCGGCAAAGCTGTTTCCACATGTCCGCTTCGTACAACAAAGTTGACGGAACGCATTCCAACTGTTGGTCGATAAGCGACGTATATCTACGAGTCTCCTGGTTGTACCTTTGTAAGCAGCTCTTCCTTTTCACAATTAGCAGACACCCTGAGCTCAGCCGATGAGCACGACGTACCGAAGTAAAGCTTGGCGGTCATTTCTTTTGCTTCTTCGGATCGCTCTTCACGACGGACCGATGTCAATAGATCAAGCACTTCAAACATACTGAGGTCGCTGGCGAGTCGCACACCACACGTGGAGCATCTGAGTTTTTCCAAGTTCGATCCGCTGTAAGCCTGGGCAGAAAACAAGCCTCGATCTCTCGTATCAACGGTCGACTGTTGATTGTCGTCTTCCGTGTTGATTCACTTACTGTCGTAATTGTTAAAGTCCGACGTTCCTGGAGCATCTACCGACGCAAATGCTCCTTCGGTAGCTATATCAAAAGGGCGATCGGCCACGAACTTTGGCATGGCCAGGACCAAATCTACATGACTCGAACAAGTCAACACGACAAAGCCGATAGGCCACGTACGATAATATTAGGCAAACCAGTAGCAGATGCGATGAATGCTGCATAGCTTCTTGCAGCTTCACCCGACGACCGACTATGGTACCGTCCTGGGAGCCAAAAGTACAGACAGTAATAGGAAGTTTGCGGTACCAATGACACATATGTCCTGTGGTAATCAATCCATTGCACCGGACAGGCGATCGCAGCGGCTGATAATGGATCAATTTACAAAGGGAATAATACCGTCAGCTTTCGGTCAGGGAGACGTTCAGCATGTGGCGTGTCCCCATCGCCTTCGTCTTGCGACCATCTTCGGGCCCGTCAGTCGGCGTCACGAGGCTTCGATGCCACGTTGGGCCTCTTGTTGACCGTCAGCGTTTTTCAAGCGCGCGGCAATTGCCGGTGCAGGAGGTCCGACTTGTCACGCACGTGCGCCCGCAAGCCTTCCGTCGCTGCTATACTGAGCGAGACCAAGACGCCCAGTCGCGTTTGCTATCTCAGGGCAACGAAGCGATCAAGATCACGCGCGTGGGCATGTGCATCAATGTGGCCATGGCAGCGACTAAGGTGCAGTGCAGGAACTGCTATCAGTGCAGTTGAAACAAGGAGCTGTGGCGTGGATTGGGTGTGCTCATGTGAACCCCATTTCGTGGCCGACGATGGGTTTGTCGATTGTTTTTTTTCTTCCTTCTTCCACTGATGATGATGATGACGATGACGATGATCGTGGGGACTGCAACACGGGACTGTAGGGTGCTGTGGGTATCGCCATTCACTCGAGTGCATTGGTCGCGGATGCTGCCCACTCGCTGTCGGATCTACTCTCGGACGTCGTGACGCTCTGGAGTGTCAAAGTCGCACGACTACCTCCTGATCAGAAACACCCCTACGGTTCGCAACACTTTGAGTACTGCTTTGCTTTGCTTTCCCGTGTAACTTTCTGTCTGCGTTCGTAACGAGCGTGTGCTGAATGGGATACTGTCGTCTGCACTGTTGATTGCTTCACCCTTTGGGGGCATGATAGGCTATGGAAAGTACGAAGCAGTGGGCTCGCTCTCTGTTGGTGCCATTTTGGTCCTCTGTGGTGTCGGAATCGGCGCCGATGGACTTCAGGCAATGCAGCAGATCTGGAGTGGCGATGTTGCAGCGACGTTACCGGATTTCAACTTGCCGTATCTCTCGGGTACGTCGAACGTTGTTTCGCCTGCTGTAGTACTCCCGTGTACGCAACTGATCTGGTTTACTCGATGATTGCAATAGACTTGAATCGAAGCACGCAATGGGCTCTTGCAGCTGGAGCAGCGGGCTTGTCCATTGCTGCAAAAGAAGCTTTGTTTCGAGTGACTGTAAGGATTGGCCAGCAAGCAAAGAGCAAGGTGCTGATTGCAAATGCGTGGCACCATCGCACGGATGCCATTTCTTCCGTTGTTGCGCTTGGCGGTATCATTGGCTCGATGGCAGGACTGCCTCTCCTTGACCCAGGTGCGCTTGCAAGATCGTGCTCGTACATCACTGCTTGTATCTAACCAGCCCTGTTGCGTATGTGCATAGTTGCTGGTATGGCCGTTGCAGCGATGATTGTAAAGACTGGTGGTGAAATCTGTCTGGACAGGTGCCCCGAGCATGCGTTCGAGTTCAATCCGGCTGCTACGTGCCGACGTTGATGGCCACTGTTACGTTGTCGTGATACGCAGTGTGCAAGAGCTCACGGACAACACTGTCGAGTCGGAGGTGCTCGAAACGCTGAAAGAAGTGGTGCGTCATGCATGCCACACATGGACATCGAATCGACGGTGCCAGTCGGCTCATTTTCTGTGCTGCATACTCTCAGTCTGGCAGCGTCGAAGATGTACTGCATGTATCGCAAGTTCGGGCTCGTCGAATGGGGCCATATACGCTGGTGGACCTGCGCGTCCACGTACGTCCACGCGACTAGAGAAACGTTTTTGTTTGCTATGAGGAGTCTGACCTTGACTCTGGATCGTTCGTCAGCTTGATGCGCGGACAAGCATTTCAATGGCTCAGCAGGTGAGGCATTCTTCACATGGGCAGCGATGCACTTACAGGAAGCTAACACATGTTCTTACGTCATGTCGGACTTACGCTGTTTGCAACGAACGAACTTGTGATAGATATCAAAGCAAGTGCGATCCCACATCTTGAAAGAGGTGCCGGACGTATCGGAAGTCCTGGTCCACCTCGACGTCCAGTTTGGTACGGCACATCCTATGACAGTATTCATATTGATTGATGTGCTAATCAGTCGGACGCACCTGATCAATGCAGACCAGCTGAGCTTGTCGAAACGAGAGTCAAGCGACGTGAACAAGAAAGATTTGCGTCCGTATCGAGAGATCAAGAACGATATCAGCTATACACTGGCCACGATCCCAGAGATCACGGGGACAACCCACATCAACACGCATTGGATACCGCATCACGGACTGGTTGTCGATGTTGCAATTGTTGTCCAGCCTGATTTGAAAGTCAAAGCAGTGCACGCCGTTGCAAAAAAAGCAAGGAAGTACGTCATTGCACGTTGCATCCAAAGTGGTTCTAATGTCGACTTGTGCGCGGGTTCACGTCTTGATCCCATGTCCGTCTCGATCCCATGTCCTAACATTGTTTTGCCGTCACGTTTGGTGGTAGATCGATCGAAGGTATCCCCTACATTGCCGAGGCCGATATTCACCTCGAACTCCAAGACGACGAGTCGGACAGCGGGTCCTAAAAAACAAGTGGTTGTCAATACACGTGTTGCTGTCCATCATTATCATCATTATCATCATTAGCATCATTACCTTTCTGTAAAAAGGGATTGGGGTGCGCGCTCACACGTCGGGTCGCTCTTTGGGCTCGCACTTCCCTCGCTGCAGTGACACCCAACACGCGCTCCTCGCGACGTCTCGCCTGAAGTAACTGCAGCAGCCGTCCGCACCCACTTACACACCCGCAAATGAGCAGCCGCAGCATTCTCATGGACTTTGTGCTTGGAAGCCTCGCGACCAGCGGCGCGTGCGTCGTGTCGAACCCTATGGAAGTGATCAAGACGCGAATGCAGCTGCAAGGAGAGCTCACGTCCACTGTCACAGCGCGCGCCGCGTCGCCCGCTGTCCAGTACCGCAACTTTGCGCACGCGTTGTACACTATTGGACGGACCGAAGGCCTGCGGGGCATTCAACGGGGCCTGGGGCCCGGTATGTCGTACCAGATCTTCATGAACGGTCCTCGACTGGGCCTCTTTGAGCCGCTGCAGCACGTGTTTGGCGCTACGGACGCGGCAGCGCTGTCGTTTCCACTGCGCAATGTCTGTGCTGCTGCTACTTCAGGCATGATTGGTGCGTTCGTCGGCAGTCCCTTTTACCTCGTCAAGGCGCGTATTCAAGCGGCCAGTTCAGTGGGCAAAGTGAATGCGCAGTACGCGTACAGTGGAATGGTACGAAGAGAGAGCGAGTGATGGACGTGGTGTAATGTGGTGGGGTGGGGTGGGGTGGGGAACGTTCATGCAGAGGTTCAATGCTGATGAAATGCTGATGGAATGCTGACTGGCTCTGTGTTGGTGGTGCTGCTGCTGGTGCTGCTGGTGCTGCTGCTATAGGTGGATGGGTTCCGGCAGATCATCAGGACAGACGGATTCACGGGACTGTATCGTGGTGCGACGGCGTCGGTACCGCGTGTGGCGGTGCGTGGATGAACGTGCAATGGGGTCGTCCACTGCTGACGGTCGTGGTGGCTGGTGTGGTGTGGTGTGCGATGGGTGTTGTCTACCTCTTGGTTCCTGTTTGTGGTGTAGATTGGTTCTGGAACGCAGTTGGCGACGTATACGCAGTTGAAAGCGCTCGTGGCTGCAGCAGGCATTGAAGATGGAGTGCCGGTTTACTTGGGCTGTACGTTTCTGTCTCTCTCGTGTGTGTGGCTTGCGGGATTGGTGGAAGTGGCAGTTGCACGCTGACTCGATGTGTGGTGCAACAGCGAGTCTCTTGACTGGAATTGCGGTCGCAACGACGATGAACCCGATGGATGTCGTGTCGACGCGGATTTACAGCCAGAAGGTCGTGAACGGCAAAGGCAAGTTGTACTCGGGCGTGATAGACTGTATCAGGAAGACTATGAAAAGCGAAGGCATTCGCGGCTTCTACAAGGGATGGACAGCAAACTACATGCGGCTAGCCCCACACACCATCTTTACGTTCATTTTCTGGGAGGAAGCCAAGAAAGTAGCCGCGCGGTTCGGATACTAGGAAATGGATGCACACGAGTACGTTCGCATTCAATAAGTTTAGATAGACAGATATGTGCAACCGACACCGTTTGACAGTCATTGGAGTTACAGCCATCCAGGTATGCCTGATGCTCCGACGTTGCATCCCTCTCTCGCTCTGGGCATGATCAAGCCGCACAGAAGCGTACCCGATGTCTCGTCATTTTTGCCGAGACTGCACATATCGTCGCTGCTACCTACCAAGACGGAACAGGATTGGCGTCTTCTTGCTACCGTCGCTTAGTAGCGGTAAAGTTTGGCCGACCGGGTCTGCTCGAGGTCAATCTTGTGGCCAAAGAGATCGCGGATGTTGTTCAGTCGGTACTTGATCATCGTCGGACGCTCCAGCGACAGACCCCAGGCGATCACACGCACGTTCTCGGGCAGGCCCATGGGACGCAACATCTCGGGGCGGAACACACCCGAGTTGCCAATCTCAGTCCACTTCTTCAAGTCCGGGTGGAAAGCAAAGATCTCCATGCTGGGCTCGGTGTACGGGTTATACGCCGGCTTGAAACGCATCTGCGTTATGCCGATCTTCATGAAGAAGGCCTTGATGATACCGATGAGGTCGCCGAGCGAGAGGTCGTAGTCGGCCACGACGCCCTCGACCTGGTGAAACTCAGCCAAGTGAGTCGCGTCCATGCTCTCGTTGCGAAACACGCGATCAATGGAAAAGTACTTCTGGGGGGTAAAGCCACCAGGCTGGCTCGCTAGCTTGTACAACATCTGCGCCGAGATAGCCGTCGTGTGTGTGCGCAAAATGTTCGTCATCGACGTCTCACGCTTGAAAGCACCGCGGCCGTGACTGTAAGCGAGCAAAAACGTCTACGTAAAGAGTCGGAAGCACTCACAAGGCAACGTCGCACGATCTGGCGTACCCGATAGAGCCATAGCCGCCGTTCTCGTGCATGTCGTGGACACGCTGGTAGTAGTCTTCTGGCACCGTCAAACAGTGCTTGGGCTCTGCACAAAAGTCCACCGACAGCAACATCACGTCAGCGACGATGCATGCACACTACGACTCCAGTTCCCACAAACCCACGAGCGAGGAAGAACGTGTCATGGGCATCACGCGCAGGGTGCGACTGTGGCTGGAAGAGCGAGTCAAAGTTCCAGAAGCTGCTTTCCACGTAGCGGTTCGTCGGCATCTCCTGGAACCTAGTCACGTCACCACCGTCATCACCAATATCCCCATCAATCGTGTCGCGTCCTTCTTCTCCTCTTTGTTCCCACAGCAGCAAAAAACAACAAAACAACACCCACCCCATGTCCATGAGCACGCGACGAAACTCGGCACGGACCTTCATCAGCGGATGCAAGTGGCCACCACCAACATTCAGGCCCATGGTCTTGAAATTGTAAGGCTTGAACGTCGCCTTCTTCCACGCCTCTCTACACCCACAACGACACACACCCAACGACCAGCTCAATATCTCCTTCCACCACCAATCCAGCTCTCCTCTCTCTCTCTCTCTCTCTCTCTCTCCATCCCCCTTCCTCCCTCCCTCCCTCCTATCTCTCTTCCCTCACCCGTCCAGCATGTCTCTCGTCAGTCCAGCAGCCTGTTTTGTGCGCTGCACGGCAAACTGCGCGCCTCGAGTCAGCGCGTACGACTTGCGCGTGCGCAGGTCGGCCAATTGGCGCCGCTTGAGCACGGCCGCCTCGTCTTTGCTGATAGCCGACACAGCGCCATTGGCCGCTTCGACCCGGCGCAAGAGCGCCACCACGTCGTCCTGCACCGCTTCAACGTTGCGGTAGAGCCTGCCCGAGCTCTTGTCCAAGCGGATCCACTTGTGCTTCATACACACGGCCAGCCCCACTTTGAACGTCGCTGCCCCCACCGCTGCCTCGACGGCCGCGCGGTCGCGGCCGTCGTGCACTGGAATCGCGTGGTACACCTGAATTTCAGGCGCCCCCTGGGCCAAACATCGCGTGGCTTCGGGTTTCAGCACGTAAAACGACGTCGCGCGCGCCGTGTCGGCCACGAACGCGTCGACGAGCAGCGACTTCACGACGCCCACCACGAGCTCGTGCGACAGGTTGTTGGCTTGCGCAAAGTCGTACGTGTCGGCGATCGCGCCCGTGGCGTCCAGCGCCTCGAGCAGCAGCGCCTCGACGCGCGTCTTCTCGGCAGCGTCGCTGTCCATGTCGGTCACTAACGTGCCTCTTGGTGACTGGTGCACAGGCGCGTTGTGTTTTTGACCAATCACAGGCGCGTTGTGTTTTCAACCAATCACAGCACGGACAATCGCCCCCTCCCTTGCTCGAGTGCCACCGGTGGCGCGCTCGGCGTGTGACGCCTGCTGTCCCGTATGTCAGTGCATTTGCCCGCCCGTTGGTTTTGCTCGCTGCGATACACGTGCGTAGCACGCCGTGACCACTGAATTGTGTCCGACCACTTATTTGGGTACATGTAGTGTGTCATTCGGGACAAGGCGGTGGCCACAAACCACTGGCCCATGACGTCTCGCCGCGGCGCAAGCGGCCGCCGCTCGGAGCACAGCCACTGGAAGTCCCGACGCTTCGGCACCAGCCGCAGCAGCAGCAGCAGCGCCCGCTGTGGCCACGCGGTCTCGTTCCGCGACGAGGGCTACAACGACCACGAGAGCGTCTGCATCGCCGAAGACGTCGCCGGCATCGCCGGCTTTCGCACGCCGAGCCAAATAGGGTTCCACGGCGTCGTCAAGCAGCGCTACGACGACTTTCTCGTGCACGAGCTCCGCGCGCGCTCCCGCGTGCCAGTGGTGCTCCAGCACGTGGTCAAGAAGCGGCCGCACGTGGTGCAGGTCGTTCGCGAGCGCGTGCTGGCGTGTGTGCTGGATCGAAAGGACGCTCAGGGCTTGGAGACGGATGGCGCGGGGCAGCTTGACGTGGACAAGCAGCTCCACGAGACCCTGCGCCAAGTGACGGGGAAACTGCAGCAGACGTTGCTCCAGCAGCAGATTGACAGCCAACAGGCGCACGAAGCGTACCATTTGCGGCAACTGGTGCTGCTGGTGTCGAAAGAGATTGGCGTGAAAAAAGGCAAAGAGTTTGAGCAGTTTCTCAAGCGCGTCGAGCAGGCGCAAGAGGCGTTTGAACGCAAGCAGCGCGAGAAACGAGCGGACACGGACCTCACGGCTGCCGCGACAGCTGCAGCAGAGGGCTTGACGTTCTATCTGGGTGGACTGAACGACAAGGCCGACCGCGTGTTTATTCATGAGACCATGAGGAGGTACGGAAGGACGCGGATTGTGGGCGACACGCTCAATATCGGCAGCGATACGGCTGTTATCCGTGTGCGACCTCGATTTGCCGTTCAGCTGTTGCCGGGGGAGAGGGACGAGAAACGAGACTGGCCGGTCGGACAGCGTAAGTTGTGGTTTGACGTGTCTGCATGTTGTGTTGTGGAGGATATGCATCACTGACGCGACAGGTGGTGTATGCCTTTTGTTTCGACGTCTATGTAGCGGACTACTTGCAGTTTACGCTGTACAAGCGCAACAAGGAAACAACAGCTGTGATCAGTCAGCTCGCATCCATGTTGAAGGTACTTCCGAAGGTGTTCTCGTATGCCGAGGTGAAGGATAAGCGTGGAGTCACGACGCAGCTTTGCACGATGTATCGCGTACGTAAAAGTCGTGCACAGCTTTTGCTCCGGCCTAGTAGTTCGAGGAAACTGGAAGACCAGCCGTTTCTAGTGGGTGACTTGCGTTACGTGCCACGGATGGTTGAGCTTGGCGACTGCGCTGGCAACCGCATTGCCATGGTGATCCGATCGTTGCCAGACGAAAACAAGCTGTCGAAGGACGATGTGGGCCAAGCAGTGCGCAGCTGGGAAACGTGCGGGTTTATCAACTTTTTCGGCTTACAGCGTTTCGGCCACTCCAGCACTTCGTATCACTTACTTGGACGCGCAGTGCTGCGCAAGGACTACAAATTGGCTGTATTGTTGGTACTTCGCCCGCAGGAAGGTGAAGCTAGTAAGATCCGCGCTGTCAGAGAAAACTTTCGCCAGCACAAAGATGTGGCAGCAGCCCTGCGATTGCTCCCGCCGTTCTTGGTCCCAGAGCGGGCGGTCCTTGAAGGTCTCCAACAGCATGGCATGGACGCGCACAAACTAGCATTCAACAACATTCCGAAGCCACTTCGTGTGTCGTTCGTCGAGGCGTATCGGTACTTCGTGTGGAATGAGATGGCGAGTATGCGCATGTCGAAGCTTTCATCGACGTCAGCGGTTGTTGGCGACATTGTCTTTGCGAAGGAGATCGGCCCGAGAATGCCACAAGCCCATGGCGACACAAGTGAACCGACGAAGAAGCGCCAACGGACTGAAAAGAGTCTGACGCGACGACGTGGTCAGGAGATTGTGGAACTCACTGCGAATAACGTGGACCAGTACTCGATCGAGGATGTGGTGCTGCCACTACCAGGACACGCGATCAAGTACCCCACGAACGAAATTGGTGCTGCGTATCGGAAAATGCTTACGACAGACGGTATCGATTTGAACGCGCATTTCGGTGCGGACGGAAGTCAAGAATACTTGCTAGACGGATCGTATCGCCACGTGGTGAAAAAGCCCACTCGTGTATCGTTCCGGTTGGAGCGCTACACGGATCCGACAAAGCCTCTATTGTTGAACGACGTTGACGCCTTGCTTGCAGAATCTTCTGCATCTTCGCACGGTATCGTCACTCCTGAGACCACAGCAGACAAGTTGTCGCAAGAGCAGACAGAAGATGGACTACACCGCGCATTAGTGCTTGAATTCGATCTAGACTACGATGTGGACGCGATGAGTGCTATTCGCGAGCTGATGAAGCAGAGCGGCAGTGCGCATGTCCATTGGAAGACGTCTAACTCTCACACAACAAGGGGCGAAGCCACACAAACCAGCGGCGGTCCGTCCAATACCGACTCTGGGTCGAGTGGTGTTAGAGCTACTACGTCGAGTACGAAATCGGGTCGAGGTGACGCACGCAAGATCATTAAAGCTCAGAAAACGACTCAAGTGGCCATCGGCCGCCCAGGGTTCAGCCTTGGCAGGTCATAGGACTTCTGGTTGGAGGGACTATCTCGTGATAACGTGCAGTTGGTGCAGTCAGTTGGTTGTTGGTGGACTATCTACATACATTCGCGAGGTGCTGGGACAAGGATGTTGTATGTCGGTGCTGATTGAATGGTGGCTGCCGACAGTCTCACTAACGAAGCAAAGCAAGCACAGCAGTACGTGGCCTGATCAGCAGAATACGTTGGTTGATGCTTATGAAGAAGTGGTAGGCAAACTTGATGTCTATCCGCCTTCTTGATTATAGATGACGCTTTTGATCAGTGTTCACGATATCTCGCTGGCGAATATACCGGCTCGATGGAGCGTGTCAAGCGTTCCGTATCGAAATAAAGCACAACGACTTCGTGAAGAAGTGCGTGTGCTGAGGATGTTCAGGTCATTTATTTCCTGGTTGCGTGACTTCGATTATGATAGAAGCAGTCGAAAGTTGTAGGATCTTGCTCAGGTCGCACATCGCCGATCTACGCACCCATGCTGGATTCTGCGGCGTCTCCTATCGACTCTTTCGTTCCCTGCTCTATTTGCATAGGCAGTGTACACTTTCATCACCACGCTCGGTACGCACACAAATGGTTTATCCGGGCTTCGTTCCTAATACTGGCACTTTCGAATAAAAATGCCAAGGATTCGTGGTAGTAAATGATTGATAGCTTGTACCAATGTACGGACTGCATCTATCCACTTCTCCGTCTACACGCCTTTGTAGTCTAGCACGTTCCGTGTTTACTACATAACTTTGTTCCAGTTGGTAATCGCCTCTTAGCTCGAATGAAGACTATGAGAAGACAGTAGCTATGCTGGTAGCACACGTAGGCAGCAATTGCTTTACAAACTGCCTCGCGCCTCGCAAGTACACATCTTTGGGAAATTACAATGAAACGTTTCAGCCGTCTTCTATCACGTCCAGAAAGTTTTGTTGAGCTCACTGAACAACTTTGACGCCCGCTCTTGGTCCAAAACACGAACGGTCTCTAAGTGCACCGTCGAAGCGGGTTTTTGTCTTCTTGCGCGCAGTTGCTGAATAGGTTGTAGGTGTCATACGGGATCGAACGATGTCTACTCCTTTTTGTGGCTAGAATAACGGGCTTCGGTGCGCTCTAAATTGCTAAGACGTGGTGTGTCAGTGTGCACTTGAATATGTGCAAGCGCTTTGATGACGCCCATCCGCGACTTCATCTTCGACACGCCTTGAAGATCCCAACTTTAAGAACGATGTTAATGCTCACACACAATGTGTGGCACATGTTTTCCGAGTGGGGTATTGCATTGAAATTCTGACTTGTATCGTCACATTAACGGCTGTTAGCTCGTAACATCCATGGCACATTCCATCTACCGAAGTGTGCGAGAAACATACCAATCGTGCTCTGTCTTGCTCAAAGTCCAGCAAGCCGCTTCAAGCATCTCCTCTACATAGCAATCACGCTGTTATGACCCCAGGTGACACGCAAGTAACGATCGATATGTACGCTAAGTCTGCATTCCACGACTTTTTCAATCGATATCAGGCGTCGGCCAAGTCTCGTGATGACAAGTACGTTCCTCATTTCGATGCGCCCGATGTAAAGACCATTCTAGATCGATACTACGCTTCTTCATCGGCATGTTGCTCGTTCCTCTATATGGCAAACAACAGAATGCTTACGGCCTGGCCATTGCGGGCCGAGATCATTCGGTATCGCTCAATGGCGTAAATTCTAATGCATGGCATGCACTCTATCCTAATCCACCAGATCCACGGTATATTGTTCGAGATCGTGAGACGAAACACGGCGTGCTACCACGTGCCACGTGTCCCCGACCTTGTACTGCACACAGTATAAGCTTACCACCTACACTCACAACAATACAGACAGGTTCCTCGAGACGTCGAGTACACAACGTGCACAGGTATCTAATCGACTATTGATCTCAGTCGTCGAATGTAGTGAGGAAATGTGTCATGTAGCTAGTCGCATCGATACCATCTGCGGAAACCTGCGTTGTCATTATCGAAAGACAAACAGGAACTGCATCGGTCTTTTCATCACCCGTTGCGCGCACGCATCAATTCAACGCTTTGCTAAAACCCTCAAGGACAATGTCGTGCTTGAAGAGCTTGTGTGATGGATGATACAAACAAAGCCTGTATGAGTTAATCGGCAAAGAACCACTGAACGTTATGTAATAACGTATGATGAAAGTATATCGTGATCTTCGATTACACTAAATCTTCACCTGTCAACGTCATGTAACGGCTCACCTCGTTATAGTACACTGATCGGCGAGTTATCAGTCAGTTAGTCAGTAAGCGATCGTGTAGCAAGTAGTCTTCCAGCGATCACTGTCTTGACGAGCACTCGATAAAAAGAACATACTGAACAAGTTCCTACTTGGGCCAGCGATCTTTCAGCAATACGTCTTCTACGGAACCGTCGCATGTCTTGCCCTGTATTTCGAGCCGCTTGGTGTCGCGTGAAGACGGATAATACTAATCTCACCCAGTATGGAGCTGACAGAGCGTTGTAAGGAGCTATGTACAGTACTACCATAGAACAATTGTAGACGCTGAGAAGTCGGCCATCACTTGGGAGCACACTTTTGAATGACTTGACCTTCTGAGCTTGCAAGGAGTATGATACACTGACAGGGGAAGAACGTCATCAGTAACATCAGCAGAAAATGCGGACATTGATCGTGGTAGCCAGCACAAAAGAGCAATTTATCGAATGATCCGCAAATTGCCAAATTTAAAGAGTCATAAAAACATCACATCTCGGCACTCACGTTTAATTTGTTCGTAGGAGCGAAATCGAAGGTTTTGCCATGAAATTGTACGTACAAAGTTAGCGTAGATGGTCGATCGATCGTACGATCAAACGTGCGAGACGGATTGGCGACCAGAGCCTGGACTCATTTCTTGAGGAACTAATGCCGCTAGCAGCGTTTATTGAATGGAGGCACACGAATCGCAGCGGCATGTAAGCGATCGATTGGCCGTCTTTGCCATGAGACTAACATAGGACAACGAACACAAATGCTCACGAAGACTACCACTGCACTCACTGCCACAGATGTGGCAAAACTGCAGCAGGTCTGGCAGGTGGTGCACAGCTGACTTTTATGCGATGGGGCCAAGTTCCTGTGTCCAGCGAAATGAGGACGTGGTGGTGTACTCGATGCGCAAGCCGTGTCATTGTGTTTCCTCGACATTGCTTCCCCCTCGAGTTAGCACGAACACCTGCTACTAAACGAGCACAAAGACGCAGGAGACCGAACAAAGTGACCATGCATTAGATGTGCTACGTTGGTACATCGGCGGTGGACTCAGTGCGGCTTGTCACGGCCGTCAGTTGTGGTGCAGAGCCTAGTAGTCCTCGTCTCCCGCGCCAAACATGTCCATGCCACCGCCCATGTCGACTTCCTCTTCCTCCTCCACAACCTTCTCCTCCACCTTAGCAGCCTCGGCACCCGGGGCAGCCGCACCAGCAGCGGCAGGAGCAGCACCAGCTGACCCAAACACAGCGAGCTTCTCACTGCCGGCTGCAATGACTTCGTCAATGTTCTTACCCTCCATGGCCTTGACCACAGCCGCCACACGCTTGGCGTCAAACTCGATGCCCGAAGCGGTCAAAATCTTCGTCACTTCGTTCTCTGTAGGAGAGGGGTGGCCACCCAGGACAGCAAGCAGGTAAGCAGCAATGTAACGCATCTGTCACGCAGGCGTTGGTTCAGAACGTGCCGTCAGTCGATCCTCACATTAGTTGTACGCATCGATGCCTCGCATGGTGCACTTAATGCGCACCTTGAATCACTTTAAGGTTCCTTCGAGTCGACCAGATACAAGATGGCAAGAGTCGAGGAACGACCGACCGGCCGCCTGGAATTCGTGTACCCACTCCAGTCGCTCAAGCTCCATCGAGGGGACCAATTGCGACGCACTAGGGGACCGACCCGTCCGCGGGCCTTCTCGTCCACTCATTCTCGTCCACTAGGGCTCGGGGTCGGCGCGCCAGCAGCTCTCGTCCAGTGGTTTGAGCTGCTGGCATTTCCGCCAATCAACGCTCGCAGCGCGCCCCCCACCACACGCGACGCGCCATTATCCGACCGACGCTGTCTCCCCCGCGCTCCCGTACTCTCGACGCAATGGCTCCCACCGTAAGTTCCATCACCGCCCGCGCGCGCATGTGTGCGGCGGCGAGTGTATGAGTTGCTAAGCTGCAGAGTGCTCCTTCTCTGCTCGGGCAAACAGAGTTCCCTTCTCTGTGGGCAATCCACTGCGCAGGAACCACACGCGAAAGTGTCGTGTGTGTGTTTTTCGTGCTCGAGTGGATTGCCACACATATATGCAGTGGAACAGATAAGCGGATCACCTGTTGCGTCCCGTACGAGCGAGTGACTGGACGTGCCCACGTAGCACGGACTCGAGGCACTCGCCACTGCAATGACCACTAGAGGTCGCCTTGTCTGTGCAACAAACGTGCTGATGCAGTCTGTCTTTTGTGTAGCACAAGGGCAAGAAGATCAGCAAGAAGCACCTGCTCAAGTTCACGATCGACTGCACGATCCCAGTCGACGACCACGTGCTGGACCCGGCGTCGTTTGAAAAGTTCCTGCACGACCGCATCAAAGTCGGGGGCAAGACGGGCGTGCTCGGGGATGCCGTCACAATCACCCGGGAGAAGACCAAGCTGCACGTAGCCTCGTTGCCTCCGTTCAGCAAGCGCTACCTCAAGTACTTGACGAAGAAGTACTTGAAGAAGCAGCAGCTGCGCGACTACCTGCACGTGATTGCGTCGGACAAGTACACGTACGAACTGCGATACTTCAACATCCACGATGCTGGCAACGACGCCGAAGAGGACGACGAGTAAGCGCAGCAGTGCTAGTGGAAGTAGCCGAGTTTGGGAAGCGGGACTGTAGCTGGGTTTGCTGATAAATGATAATGCAGACGAGCTCTTTTGGCACGGAAAATTTGTGAGTCACTCGAGACAATGTAGTGCTGCTGTATGGAAGGAGGTTGTCAGAACACTTTGTACCTGGACAATGACGTGCATTGGTGGACAGCTGCCTGACAACGGCTCTTGCTACTTCAATGAGCACATACCGCACGTACAGCGTCTACTGAACCTACACGAACATACATTCACATGGCTCGCGAGAAGAGGAGTCAATGGCTTCGTTACATTCGATGCACAAGCGCAGCATTTATGGCCTCGATCCACTTCTTTGACCCGTTGACGAGGTCATTCAGATGGTACACCCGGTTCGGCTGGTGACAAGCGATCAGCAAAAGAAAAACAAACGTCAGCTGTTGATCTCCTCGCACCATGAACTTGCCAACTCGAGCTTCTTACCGTCACGACGTCGAATGCGGTCGCGCTCTTTGAGTTCACGTAGAGGCTCTCGGACCACGGAATCTCTCCCTTTTGCTTCATTCTAATGGGGTCAATGTAGATCAAACGAGGCTTCGATGTCAGAATCAACTGACGTTTCTTCGAGAACAGCCCCTTGCGCTTGCTAATGAGCCCGCCCATCTTGATCAGCTCGTCATCCAGCAGGAAGCGGTTCCACAGCGAGCTCGTGCGCCGCATTGCAGGCGGTATTGCAGCCTTCTGGCGGGCCACTTCCACTACGTCAACATGCTCAGCCCTGCACAATCATAAACGGTAGTAGGGGTAAACCACCTGTCGCTTGCAGACTTCACATGCAACAGCACACGTACGGGGAAGGCGGAGGGTCGAGTGCCAATCCCGACGAAACCTGCAACTCGGTCGCGACACCGGCAAAGAGCCAGTCTTCAGTCGCGCCATCCTATACAACGAACGACGCAACGATACCAGTATCAGCGTGTCAGCGAACGAGCTCCAGTGCACACAATCACCATGTCTTACGTAATCTGTAGGTGGCAGCCGACCGATCTCCGGTACGTACGGCGGCTGCGTGTACCCGACCGAGTTCCAGTCGATGCCTTCGAAAAACGGGTGCGACTTCAGTGCAACGTATCCGGTGCCTTCTTCATCTGTCCCAGCGCCAAGACGTTTACTGGGTTCCTGCACGAGGATGCGGTCAATCAGATCTTGTGCAACCGGCGGGAATCCGGACGGGTACGCAAAGTCCTCGGCAGGATGGTTCAGAATCTGCTGGAATGTAAGGTACTCGTTTTCTGCCCGAAAAACGGGTCGACCGACGAGCAACTGGAACACCATGCAAGCCATGGCCCACAGATCGCAACCACGGGACGCTTCCTGATCGCGCAACACCTCGGGTGACACGTATTCTGCTGTACCGCAAAACGTGTTGTGGCGGCTCTCCTCTGTTTCGTCCTTAGCTGTGCCAAAGTCTGTCACCTTGAGGTGGCCATCGTCGCTCAGGAGAATGTTCTCCGGCTTGAGGTCGCGGTGGATGACACCGTTCTTGTGCAAGTACTCGAGCGCGACAACGACCTCAGCAATATAGAATCGCGTCAGCTCCAGCGAGCACGCGCGATCCGTGAAGCCAGCAGCGGCCTGTATCTTTTGGTGCTTACTGCCCGATACAACAAACATGACCAGCAGCAAAAGAGACCGTCCATCAGTCCATTGAGACACGTACAGATGCATTGACCACAAGCAGCAAAGAAATCCGACAGCAGACGTACGTAATGACGTCAAGCAACTCGCCACCCCGGCAAAGCTCCATCACCATGTACAAGTAGCTATTGTCCTACGACACACAAAGCAGCATTAGCACACGAACGCACACGAACGCACGCTCCCACTCAAAACGTATGTCCACTGAGCGAGCCATCCACATGGCTACACCCAATGAACGCATCAAAGCAGCAGCAGTCCCAGTGTACCTGGAACGTGAAAAAGAGCTTCACCACGCGCTCGTGCGAGATCTTGGAAAACACTTTGCGCTCCATCATGACGAATTTGACCTTCTTCTCCTTGCGAATGAAGCGCTTTTCCATGATCTTGACTGCATACTCCACGCCCGTGTCCTTCATGCGCGAGTGCACCACCTACAGACCATCACACAAGAGCAGCGCACGTACGTGAGCCCATCTCTCGTCTCACTTCGTCGACAACGTGTCCCTATTGCCCGCAACACAGCACCACACGCTCACGCACTCGAGCGTACGCGCCTTCCCCGAGCGTCGTGCCAAACATAAAGTCGGCGGGCGACGGCTTCCTGCCCTGCGACCGGACGGGCGACGTGCCATCTGCCGAGCCTTCACATACACAAACATCGACCAAAATAGAGAGCCAAAAAGAGCGATAGAGCCAAAAAGAGCGATAGAGCCAAAAAGAGAGAGACAAAAAGAGAGAGCCAAAAAGATAGAGAACGATAAAGATAGCGAAAACGATAGCGATAGAGGGGATGCAATGAGAACCGAGCGCGTAATAACGCAATCGCAGTAGCAGCAACGCAGGGTGGGCGGAAGCGACGACGACGTACCGGGCGGCGTGGGGGTCTGCATCGTCCAGAGCGAGTGCCGAGTGGGAAATGCCACAGACGACGACGACGACGACGACGACAAACGGAGCGGCGCGCGCGCTCGCTCGATCTCTCTCCCCCTCTCACTGGCTGTTGCGGTGTTGTACACGTATAGTGTATAGCACGACGGAGGCTTGCAGTAGGGCTAGGGGGGGTGGGGATGGGGGATGGACGAGAGATGCAGCGCGCGTCCGGATGTCCGGATGTTGTGCGGCGGAAAATCCGTGGGTGGGTGAGTGGGTGGGTGAGTGGGTGTTTTGTTTTTCGCATAGCGTGCGGCGCGCGACGAGAGGCGATTGGCAGGTTCTTGGAACAACCCCAAAAGGGTCTTGAAAAGGACCCAAACGACTCGGAAGAGAAGCACCCAGACTTGAGTTGCCACGAGTTAGTTGTGCGTGTAATTGAGAGGCATGAGCGGTGACGAACCCGACAACGTGCGCAGAAGAAGCAGTGGAAGTTGCTGCACTGTGTGATTGCTGGTTCATTGCAGCATGTGACCTAATGAAGAGGCAAGTTTTTAAGTGTGCGGTACGCTGCCTTGCCCCATGCTCGGCAAAATGTATGGCACTGTAGCTACGATGTGATTCGAGTCAGATTGACGAGCGACGACACGACGGCGCGTCCGTTCGAACAGTGCTCCGTTCGTAGCACTAATGTGCCGTACGACACAAACTTGCTGCAAGTTGTACGATGCCGTCACGCACAAGAGCGTATCGAGCAAGAGAAATTGTAAGCAAGTGCCTGCCTAGTTGTTGCGCACGAGCGCTTTATCCCAGCAGCACAACAGCGCAACGCTACGAAGATTACGAAGTGAGACTGTGACAGTATCGTGGCGAAGAAGCAACGAGCAAACGAGCCACCGCTTCGTTCGCAAAATCCATGACGAGCATTGTATATATTCAGCAACGGTGCGTGGTTTTTTTTAATAAAAAATTTTTTTTTGGTTGGGAGGGGGGAAAAAAAACCTCAAAAAACATTCCCTGTAGATACCGCTTTCCAGCTACGTCAAGCGGCGTCTCTTGTTCTCATCAAGCTTACGTCAAGAGCTCGTAACGACAGTCGTCGCCTGCACCTTCGTTCATTCCTAGTGAGTGCCATGTCTTCTGTTTCTGCGAGTAGTACCTGTGGGTCCTGTGAAGTGCACGCAGCCAATGGCCCGAGTCTTTGCTTCTTGCTACTTCTTACTTGGTACTAGACGCGATCGTTCCCTTTTTCTGAACTCATCGATCGTGATACTACGACTTGACAAACTGACGAGTGTCGAGAGGACGGTCACCGGTGCCCACGACGTTCTGCCTATGTGCATCCTCCGACCAGCGGTCATTTGTGATAGCTGTAACACGCAGATGGTCAATCGTTTGTAGGACTTGCATGGACCTCTGCAACACAAAGACCACAAGAGGAATCGAACCTCGATCAAAATGATCGAAGACCACATTCGTTCACAACCAGTCTGCTCGTCATCGACTTGACAACAGTAAGCTGCACATACCGGACGATGATGAGTTGTTTGCCTCTGTTTCACGTGTTCGGTGTGTAGTGTCCCCGCTCGTGTGTCCAGCTACGATACACGAGTCGGCATACTTGCAGATCGTCAGTCTCAAGATGAACAAGAACGCGTCTCATGCGCACACAATGATCTCGATAGAGGTCGGCTGACCATGACTGCTGCATGTTTGTTCTTCCGCCAGCATGCATTGCGAAACGGTGAGCTTTTTGACTCGCTTCGCAAGCGGCAAGACAGTTGCATTGGTGAACCATTGCGTGCAGATAGCACCATTCTCACTTGACGATGCAGGAAGTGAGGCTGTCGATACAGATTGCAACGCTGATACATATAGCACGTGTTGAGCATTTGTCTTGCGTGGGGTCATGTACGATACTGGATCAACCGAAAAGCTTGACACATGGTGCGAAGGCAAAAGCATGCACACGATACAGACGGCTACCAAGCATACAGGTGAGTGACGGTCAGCGAGCGCTTTGAGCTGTAGCTATGGCGTAATGCCTGGCTCAGTCTCATTTGAAAGAAACAAGTTCCAGCTGATTTGGCCACTTGACTGAGAATGAGGTGCCTGGCGGCTTCGTACGATCGTTTTATTGTATTTGTGGTTTGTTGTTGATGTTATTATCAAGTAAGTTGCGTGTTCCATCTCTGCAGCTTCACGTCGAGACGCGCTTCGTGGTACCAGTGCAGTACTCGGCATCTCGTTCCTTGCAGTTTCTATTGGATAGTCAGGCATCACAATTTGAGTAATGTCGTACATGGTGTCGAGCGCTTGCGTGTGTACATGTGCTTCGTACACACTGATGATCTGACAACTTACTGACCAGCGTCATCATACCCACCCTGAAGGACCAGGCAATAGGCGGTCCATCCCATTCAGCTGCACTGCCAAGTCATTCAGTATGCAATCGTGCTGACACTATCGTCGAGCGGCGGCAAGTCAAACAACCAATATACCGTGGCAAGTTGATACAATAGCTTCATAGCGCGACCGTATCGCACTGCGTCCGTGGATCTGCTTGTCCTCACACCTGAAAGACCTCTCTGATACGAACACAAGAAAACGCGTACCTGCATCATGCATGTGTTTTGCGTAGCAGCGTGCTAAGACGAACGTCCTGCAGTTCGCGATCAACTGCGTGGCAGGGGGATACGGAACGACCCAGACGTACGTCGGCTTGTCGGCAGCTAAACTCGCACTTGCATCACAAAATGATCTACCGAGTGCAGCGTGCGGACTGCCATACAGCACGAGAGCGACATAGATCTGTCGCGAGATGATCAGCTGTGTGCAGTTGCACGGATTGCTATGTTTGTACTTCTCGATCGAACGCTTCGGAGCTTCCACAATGAGCGAGATCACCAAACTGAGAAAGAAGCTTTGTAAGTAGTCTGAGAACGTAGGCTTTGTCTGCAAAAACAGAAGAAAGATTGACAGTTGCTTGCAAAGACTCACAAGTGTGCCGTAGTTACAGGGGGAAGAGAAACACCATCACGAAAGCAATTTACAAGTGAGCAGCACGGTCGACTACATGACCAAGTACGTTTGATCGGCAACCAGATAGGGATCGCATCCATCGTCTTGTAGTAGGACGACTTCAGTGGTCGTATGCTTTGTAATGGATGCTACATAGTGCGAGTACGGGTGGCCGTCAACCTGTACGTCGTTCAATGTGCAAGTGACGCAACATTGTTGAACAGCGGGATAACTTTCTTCGCAAATTCAAAGGGTTTGTACTGTTTGAAATGGACCAGTGGTAGTGACTCAGCAACAGTACTCATCATCCGCTTTTAGCTGCTTGAAGTAGTTGCAATATGCTTCCATCACTAGCTATCATCTCAACAGCGTGCGAGAGGTCCGTTTGATGTTCCAAGATGTAGGAATGGCCGATCACACCTCTATCGCTGCGCAGTCAACACGGAGGGTAACTCGTAAGAAGCGTGTGCTGCGATTTGATCCATGAGAAGTAAACGGCACAAGATCAAGCTCGCCGGTTGCTTGTGACCCCCGCTGTATACTCGCTGCATCGCTATTTATACGCAAACCATCTCAGAACTGCAATGGGTCAAGGTAACACGCACTGACGGTGCCAAAGTCGTTGTCGTTCCGAAACGGTCTGTGCAATTCTGCGATGAGGCTACATGCAGTCCTTGTAAAATGTTTCACTGGTCTTGCTGATCTCACTTATCCGTGCACTTGCAGATAAAGTACAACTAGCGGTGTTACTATATGGTTTTGCAGATCAGATGTGCCGTTGTAAGCTCCCCTGAACGAGATCGTGGTCACGCCTCCATTCTTGATAGCCTCAGATGCTTGTAAATGTTCGCTGAGCCTCTTGATTCGCAACAGCTACGGCTCCGTTGCTAAACAATGATACGAGTGGACCAATTGGCATATACAAAACACAGTTCCGACGGAAAGCACCATTGTCCTGTGCAACTTTTGCATCATTCCTTGACATATCCCAAGAAAGTCACCGGGCTGCTCATTGAGATCATGGAACCTCCAGCTTGATCTGCACACCTCACAGAGTACCCATTTTTGTCCTGCTTTGTGATTTGAGTAGAATTTTACCCCCGACAAAGCAGACTGTCGATGACGATAGTGTCTGACACGATCCTTTCATGCTGCGACGGACTTTACCTGACAAAAGTTGCATTTACGCATGAATGCGTACGGCCCACTCTGGCCATAATTTCCAGCTCGTAACGTAGCGGCCGAAGAACAATCCCTGTAAACGCAGTCTACAGACCTCCCGAAAGTTGCGTCACTTTCGAGGACAACTTATCGGAGACGGCATCGCAAACGAAACGATCAGTGGTACAAGCAGATCTTTGCATCGATACACAACACCTCGGAAGGCAGCACAGCAAATCATAGCAATACAACGCCAACGAGTACAACCACAACAGCTCTATCCTTTGCTCGGGCAACAAAAACGACGCAATCCAGCAGGAAAAGAGAACAACTGGCACATTTTTGCGTAGCACAGTGCACAGCGAGAAAAAAAGCAAAAGTTTGTTGATGACTGCCCATCGTCGTCATATGTCCGTCATATCAAGTCGCACACTGTCGTCATAACGGTCGCCGAAACCTCAAGTCGAACAGTGTACGGCCAACTCGATCGACACACCCGTCGGACAAAAAACGCACCCACGCGCTCGACCTCCGCTTCGGCAACGCAGACGCACTAAACCAGGTCCGTTCTCCAGTGCCCTCTCTCACCCACTCGACGAGCCAACAGGCAGCTGGAAACCCATGTCCAGCATCGAGAAGTTATCGATCCGCGGCATCCGGAGTTTCAGTCCAAACCGGGAAGAAATCATTGAGTTTTACCATCCACTGACTGTCTTATTAGGCGACAACGGATGTGGCAAAACGACTGTGATCGAGTGTTTAAAACTCGCGTGCACGGGTGGGTTACCCCCTGGCGCGCGCAGTGGCCATAGCCTCGTGCACGACCCGAAACTCGCCGGTACAAACGAAGTGAAAGCCAGTGTCCGACTGCGCTTTCGCAATCGTGCAGGAAAAGCAATGGTCGTCCAACGCACGTTTCAAGTCCGCCAGACGCAAAAGAGTCTTCAATTTAAAGCACTGGATGGCGTCATTCGCGTAGTGAATGAAGTGGGCGAGAAAGTGTCGCTGAGTCACAAATGCGGCGAACTCGACCAGCACATTCCCGATATGTTGGGCGTGTCAAAAGCCATTCTCGAGAACGTGATTTTCTGTCATCAAGAAGACGCAAATTGGCCATTGCGAGAAGGCGCAGAGCTGAAAAAAAGGTTTGACCAGATCTTTGAATCCGCGCGGTATACAAAGGCACTCGAAGCCATTCGAAAACTCAAGAAAGCTCGACTGGATCACGCAAAAGATTACAAGCGGGATCTCGACATATTGACGGTCAATATGAAGGCCGCCGAGACGATTCGTCGGTCGCTCGAAGCGAGACAAGAGCAGTTGCAACAGGCAAGAGACGAGGAAGCTGAAGGACGAGATGAGATTGCAGAGGCCGAAAAAGCTCTGGAAGAGCTGCAAGTGCTGCAGACAGAAGTGAAGCGAGTGCACGGGCAGTTGAAACGACGGGAAGAAGATGTGGGGGTGAAGGACGAGAGCGTGCGTCGCGCGTACAGCAAGATTGAAAACATCATGAGCGATACAGACGACGAGCTGCAAGCAGTGTTGAACGACTATGACGCAATCATCGAGGAACATCGACGAACGTTTGCCAGAGTGCAAGAAGAGGACGCAAAGCTGCAGACTGAACAGAGTCAAGCAAACGAGGAATATGTAGCGCTGCGGGCGGCGAAAGCGCGAGTGGAGACGAACATCGACATGTACCGGAAGAAAGTGGTAGACCTGGTTGACTTGGCGTCGAGACTGAGCACGAAGTATCGTTTTCACCTGCAACCGCTATCGTCGCAGCAGGACGACATTTCGGCGTTCATGGCAGAGTTCAGGAACGTTGTGAAGAACAAACAAGACGCAGTGAACAGTCTAGATGCAAAGCAGAGACAAGACGATGAGAAGCTGACCATGGAGCTGTCTGAGTTGACGTCTCAAGTGAAACAAATACGCAGTGAACTAGAGGCAAAGACGCGAAGTCTCGAGGCGTTGAACCGGGACAAAAAGGCCATTGCTCATCGTCTTAGCGAGCTTGGTGGTGCAGGATTGCATTCTCAGCGAGAAGCGGAAGAAATGAGCACGCAAGTACTCGAGGCGGAACAAACGTTGGCGGAGTTTAAGAAAACACATGACGTAGCGGCTTTGAAACATGACATCCAAGGCTTCAACCGGCAGATCAACGATATCAATGGGACAGTGGAAGATCTCGGGCAACAGATTACTACACTGCGCACCTATGCGCATAAGAACTCTGAGCTCGAGATCAAGCGCAGCGAATACAAAAGGAGACAGGAAGCGTTCCAAGCCGACTTGAGTGACAAGGTGTTGGACATCGAAGAGATCTTGGAAGGCGGTGAACCACCAACGGACAGAGCTTCACTCGTGTCGACGATTGCTCGAATGGACGGTCTCATAGCCGAGCGGCAACGCAGTTGCGATGTAAAGAAGAAGGAGCTGAGGTCGGCCGAGCAGCGTCTGGTAGAAAACGAGACATCGGCGAAACTTGCTGAGAAGGAGTTGAGCGTGTTGCGTGCGAAAAAAAACGAGCTCGATATGCACGATATGCCCGGTTTGAAAGCACTGCTTGACAAGGTCATTCCTGGTCACGATCTCACAAGTGCTGAGCTTGGGGTAAAAGAGGCCGAGCGCGCTTACGCTGATGCCAAAGACAAGGTCGTTCGTCGCAGAAACATGGTGATGTTCCTCAAGATCTACAAGAACAAAGGCATGGCGGATCACTGCTGTCCCCTGTGCGAGCGTGGTATGAACCGCGAGGAAGAGCGGGTCTACGAAAGCATTTTGAACGACAAGACGGACGACAAGAAAGTTGCCGACAAAATCAAAAAGGCCGAAAGCCTCGAAACGTCCTCGCTCGAGACGCTGAACGGGATAAAGGAGAGGATGCCGAGCTGGCGCAAGTGGATGGAGCTCGAGACCAGTATTCCGCAAAAAGTCAGCGAGCTGGAAGAGATGTATGCTTCACAGAAGATGCTGGAATACGACGTACAAGACAAGATACCGTTGTTCGACCAGGCACTGGAACAGCTTGAAGCCGCAAAGACGGCCAAGTCTGAAATGGAGGTATTGCGGAAATGTGCCGACGACTTGCACGCTTCGGATGCATCGATCACAAAAGAAGAACAACGTATGCGAGCGTTGACAGGAGGGAGTCATGGACCTCATGGTCGGTCGTTGCTGGAAGTGGAAGCAGAGAGAGATTCGAAGCAAGCTGAAGCGCAGGACCTAAACCTCCAGCTACAGCGCAAACAGAAAGAAGTCGACCGCATCAACGAGATGTTACAGCAACTGCAGAACGATCTGCACAGCTGTAGGGAAGAAAAGATGAAGAAAGAGACACGGCGCAAGGAGTACGACGAGGCTGTGAACGAGCAGAATCGGTTGCGTGAGCAGGAGAAGATGTTGAAAGAGACTTGCTTGAAGCTGAGGAAGTCAGAGCCCGAACTAGAGCGTGACGTTCGCTCGAAAACGGCCGAGCGCGAGACACGCCGGGCTGAGGCAAGCGAACAACTACGAGCCAAGCGGTTGGAGCTTCAGGAAGGCCAGGGTGATTTCCGTGTCTTCAGTGACAAGGCCAAGCAAGTTCAGGGCGGAGAGCTCGATAAACTTGACCGAGAAGTACAGTCGTTGAGCGACCGTATTGCTCAGACGAAGCAGAAGGAGGAAGCAGTGAACCAATCTAGGGCCAAGTTGGCACCCCGAATGAAGAGCGCGGAGAAAAGTATCGGCGAGAACGAAATCGTCAAGCGACACATCCAAGACAATCTCGACTACCGTGGTCTGCAAAAAGAGCTCGAGAAGATACGCGCAGAGGTTCAGCACCTGAGAGTTGAAGTCGGAAAGTTGCCAACGCTCGGTGATGTCAATGATCGAGTTGCAGCAGCCAGTGCGACGCTTCAGGCTGCACAGGTTTCTTGCGCAACGTTGACAGGAAAGAAGCAGCAGCTGATGGAGAATATCCGCGAAGACAAGATCAAGCTGCGTGCGCCGAACTTGAAGGACATTGAAGAGAAGTACCGGTACAAGCTGATCCAGTTTGAGACGACACAGATGGCTGTCGCGGACTTGGACCGCTATTTCAAGGCGCTGGACGAGTCGTTACTGCAGTACCATGCGAAGAAAGTGGAGGAGATCAACACGATCATTCGTACACTTTGGCAGATCACGTACAAGGGTCAAGACATCGACACGATTGAACTCGTGAGCGGACAGCAAGAGGGCGTGGTGTCGAAAGCTGCACGTTCGTATGACTACCGCGTCGTGATGAAGAAGGCAGGAACAGCGATTGACATGCGAGGTCGGTGCAGTGCAGGACAAAAGGTGCTGGCTGCTTTGGTCATTCGGTTGGCACTGGCCGAGACCTTTTGTCTCAATTGCGGGATCTTGGCGTTGGACGAGCCCACGACGAACCTCGACACGGAGAACAAATTCGGTCTGGCGCAGGCAATCACAGAGTACGACCATGCGCTACTCGTGCCTGCCACATACATAGTGCTGATAACGAACTCACCTTGTGTACGATCGTCGTTGCAATGTAGCATTCTGAGCGCGCGCTCGCAGCAGCAAAACTTACAGCTGGTATGCATCACGCACGACGAAGAGTTTGTGCAAATGCTCAGCCGGACTCAAGCCATGGACGGCACTCGGCCTGAGTTTTACTGGCGCATTTCGAGAGAAGATATGTACGTCGAGCTGCATTGTTCTCGGGATGAGGTCGGTCCGTACCTTACTTGCTTCGAACCTGGTTGTGTAATCCATAGTGGTGGCAACCGCTTTGTCAGCAAGATCGAGCGACACGAGTGGGAAAACGGCATCTAACAGTGTTTGATCATCTGAGCTAGCTAGAGGAAGAAGTACTGGGCGGTATGGACGCCCGCAAGCACTTTCCATACTCTCTGTATTGTTTTTGCTTCGTCAACACACGCTTAACTGGAAGTATCTAGCAATCCCTGACGTGTTGTAGCATCCACGGCATCGACTGGTTCACTCGCCTTAGCATCTTGAGCATCAAGCTTCTTCTTCAGCTGAAGCTGGACATCAAGGTTGCTGCTCTGCTTCAGCAATTCACGCACTGCCATGGTCGCGTATGAAGACGGACCAAGCTGGAACTCCAGGCACAGAGCACGAAACTTGCCATCGGGAATAGAGCCTTGAACGGAGCGGCCAGCAAAGCGGTCGACGTCAGTTTCAAGGAGCGGAACTGTAGGGTCGTTGAACCTTTTCAGCTCATGCTGCACGTCCACGGGCTTCTTCACCACATGCCGGTAAGACCCTGGAAGATGGTACTCGGAGTTCGTCGCACGTTCCAGTGAGCAGAAATCCACACCATCGGCTGTCAAGATCTCGTCGTATCGCTGTTTGAGCCCGTTCTCCGGATACGCAATGCTGTAGCCTGGTAGCGGCAGCACTACGTCATAAATGCTGTATTGACCCAGCGTTTCAGCCGTGACGACGACAACATCCGTCTCGGGGCGTGAAGCTTCAGCCAATGTCCGAGGCTTCTTGTACACTGGCGTAGCTGCATCTCGCTCTTCTTCAGCACCATCGACACCGTCCACTTCGCTGCCATCAACAATGTCGTCCGTCATGGTATCATGAGGAATCACAAGGTCACCGATCACGGGCGAAGTTCTGGAATACCGTGTCAAGCGCTCGCTGGCCACAGAGTTCCACACGTAGCTCTGGTACGCGTGTGTGTACATCATGCGGAGGTGACGAGGGATACTCTGGATAGCACTGGCATAGGCTGTTGCGCCATGCACACGGAGTCCATGCAGCACTGCGCGTTCAGCGATCAAGTACGGAGGAAGTGCCTTCAGCGCGGCTTCGACGTCTTGATTGTCTCGGAAGGCCTCGCGTGCCTTGCGGATCAAGGTCGCGTCACCCTCTTGTGGATGCAGCAGCAACTCGACCACGCGCTTGTGGTCGCGCTGCAAGATCGCTCGTCCAATCTCATGCGTGGCGATCGCTTTGGTGCCGAAGCGCTGCAGGCCAAAGTAGTTGATGAAGCCGTGCTCACTCCAGCTGCGAACAGCTTCGTGGACTTCTGCGTCTGCAATCGTCTCTTCATCTGGGAGGTCGCGGACAACAATCGAGAACCGATTGCCGCGCAGGTCGCCGAGGTTCAGTCGATGCGGGACGTACGTCGCGTTGCCCACGAGAAAGTTGAACGCGTCCAGCTCGCGACCCGCCCGGTTCAGCGAGTCGAGTCGCTCTTTCGAGCCACGATAGACCGTGCAGAGCTGCGTCGTGATGCCGCGCTTGTCTTTCGTACCTGCGTACGTGAAGCTCGAGACGTTCAGGTTCATGGCTTTCGCGAGCTGCATCATGACGCTATTGGTCTCGAGGTTGCGCTTGTAGAGGACAAACTGCAAGTACTCGGGCCGGTCTTTCGGCCACGACGCACGTGCACTAGAGCTTCCACGCTGGTCAATATCCTTGCGCTTCTTCCCGTTGACCATCACCTGCCGCAGTCGAATCACCGACACGCCATCAGCGTTCGTCGTGGTGTCGGACACGACAAGGCCACTGCTGAACTGACGCACTGCTTCATGCACTGCAGCTCGCGTCTCCTTTGCGTCCATGGACGGGAAAAAGAACATCGAGTCTGTCTGCGGCTTTGCAGGCTCAGTCACGTCCATCGCCTCGTCTTGTACGGTCGTGTCGTTGCTGCACTTGCTCGTGTGCTTGGCCAGCCGCTTCGCTTCTTCCGCCTGTACCTGTGCGTCGACCAACTGGAGCATAAACGCTCTCAGCTGCTCCGCTGTTGCATCGCCGCAGGCTCGAGCCACGACCTCGTGCAGCTTTTGCACGTTCGCCTGCTCGAGCTTCAACGCGCTCGCGCGCTTGTTGGCATTGAGCGCGCCCAGGAGTCGACCGGCTAACGTGCCCACGAGGCCGTGCACCGACGCGGGAATGTCCATCGTATGGGTTGTTGCGCCATTGAGCAGCGCAAAGACCTTGTGCTTGAACACTTCGCTGACCTTCAGCGGCTTGTCCCGGCGCGCAAAGCGCTGAATGTCCGTCAGGCGCACCACGTGGCCGTCCCGTGCCACCTCTCGCACGACAAAGTCCGAGTACCGCTGCTTTGTCGCGCCGTGGAAGCCACGCACTGTGGGCTGGAGGAAGCACTGGATGCCCACTGCGCTCTCGTTTACGCTGCACGCGACGCTGTCGTTGTAACCGGCAGCTCGGAAATCCACACTGTCAGGCCCGCGTCTGTCTCCATGACGACGTCCACCACTTCCCCCTCGTCGTCCGCGGCGCGACGTCGACGAGTAGCGAGCAGCGCCTCGACCCATCTCGATCAGCCGCCGCCCCAACACGACGTTTGCTGCCGACGGTGTCGTAGCGACTCTTTGTTTTTATACAATGACTGGTCCACAGCGATCGGTCCCGCGCGTCACATGTTTTTGACGAACGTGCCGCACGCGTCGCAGGTGTCAGAGCGGCCATGTCGACGGCCCTACAGCTGCTGCTGCTTGGCGCAGCAGCGCCACTGCTACTGCTGCTACTGCTTCGACTGCTGCGTCCGTTCGTGCTGCTGTGCTGCTGTGACGGTCTGTCGCACGTGCCGTTGCCGACGCTGCTTCGCTTCAGCTTTGTGGTGCGGTTGCAGGCAGTGAGTTTGTGGCTCTCGGGCGTCTCGCCGGGTCTTCCAGCGATCCCTACCGTCGAACAACTGCCTGGCGCCGTACTGCGCGTCTTGGGCGGCAATCCAAGTCGACTGACGTTGAACGGCACGAACGTGTACGTGGTGGGCACGGGATCGCGTCGGCTGGTGATCGACGCGAGTGACGGCAATGACACGTTCGTCAAGCGACTGCTGCACGTGTGTGATTGCCACGACGTCCACGACGTCTCGGACCTGTTGATCACGCACGGCCACTTGGACCACGTGGGCGGACTGCTGCAGCTGAAGCAGCGGTTCCCAGCGATGCACGTGTGGAAGTACCTTCCAGTGGACGGGCGACGTGGAGACAGCGACGGCGACCGGCGATTGCGACTCAAGAACGACGTGTGTCGACGGCTGGGGATCCGACCGCTGGTGGACCAGCAGCAGTTCCACGTGCCAGGGACTTGTGGTGGCGTGTTGACGACCGTGTACACGCCCGGCCACTGCAATGACCACGTGTGCTTTGTCTTAGACGGCGTCGCAGCGCTCAGAGCTCCTGTGCTGTTCTCGGGCGACTGCATCGTGGGCGTCGGCAGCTGCCTGTTTGACTCGCTCGGCGACCTCATGACATCGCTGGAGAAGCTGAGTGCTTGCGAGGCTGCGACCATTTACCCCGGGCACGGCCCTGTGGTCTACGATGCACCGCTGAAGATTCGCGAGTACATTGCCCACCGACAGCAGCGCGAAGACCAAGTTCTGGCTGTGCTGACGGGGCACAGCGACCGTCTCGACGGCGTGTCGCTGTCCGAGATCGTGGACAGCATCTACGCGTCGCTGCCGTTTGTCCTTCGGCTGGCGGCGAAGAAGGCAGTCGACAAGCACGTGCAGAAACTGATTGCCGACGGCCGTGTCCAGCACATTCGTCCAGCGCGATGGCACCAGTGCGCAACGTACGGTCTGCGCCGCGGCACGTCGGACAGCGAGCATGGCAAAGGTGCGGGGTCGTGATGGCATTGTTCGGCTTATACTAACGGGTGCTCGACAACTTGGCAACATGAATGACAGACGTAGGCCCAATGCATAGGCTCTCCTCCTCCTCCTTCTTGTTCGTCTTCGACTGCTGACTAGCGTCCATAGAGCTGCTCGGGCGTGAACGGCCCATCTTCCGGTCGACTGGAGCGCGCGGCGGCAGCAGCAGCAGCAGGAGACTGCTCGGCAATGAGGTTCATCTTGAGCATGGGCGTGATCAGCGCGTCGGTGCTCGAGCCCAACGCGCTGCGATAACGTGCGTCGGCACCAAAGTCACTGCTGCTGCCTTGCGAGTCCCCGTCGTCCGGCCAGACCAGCGGCGTCTCGGACTCGCGGCCGGCATAGTACCGGTCCACCGTCGTGCGTGGCGGCTCGTGACTATGCCGGCGCTGTGCTCCGTACGCGCCCGTGTTGTAACTCGTCTCGTGCGCGTACACTCCTCCGTTGCTGCTGCCCATTGCCACGGGCACGGCCGGCAGCGACGACGAACTCGCCTTGACGCAGTTGTGGTACTCGGGATGTCCCGGGTGCATTGGCACGCGCCGTTGGCTGTATGCGCTGTCGTCCGTCCGGACGTCATAGTCGACGCCGAGAATCGCCTGCGAGAACAGCCCACTGCTGCTGCTGCTGCAGCTGTCGTTGCTCGTCACGGACGCAGCTGTGCTCCGGTAGACCCCTCCGTCGGTCGTGGCGCGCGCGCGGCCTTCGTCCGAGCCGTCTTTTGCTGGAAACGCTGCTGTCCCGTCGGCGCTGCGTCGGAGTCCGTCGTGGCCCGTCACGGACGCACTCGTCGCGCGCGCGGGATCGCTCTGCTGCGCGCGCAGGTCGAACTGGTGGATCAAATACGTGCACTGCTTGCAAAACGGCGTGTAGTGCGGCACGCGAAAGTCGTAGTAGTTGAGCACGCGCACTTTGGCCACGCAGCGCGCGCACGTGCGCTTGTGGCAGACAGCGCACGTCTTGAGCGCACTCAGCACGCGCGACGCTTTGGCCAAGCACACGCCGCACTGGCCGTGCGCGGCCGCCGACGCTGCACGCGGTCCGGGCACAACGTGGCGCGCAGCTTTCACGAGCGCTGTGGCGATCACGGCGTGCGCCACGGGCACGGCCTGTTCAATGCGGAGCCAGAGGTCGGCCGACTTGAGGTCCGTGACCCACTCGGCGACGTGGCCGCCCGCGTCGTTGCGGCCGCGCATGAAGACGCGCACGCCGCCGGTCGGGTGGCGCTGGTAGAGGTAGCACACGGACAGCTTTGCGCGGACGCACTCGGCAAAGCGCGGGCACGTGGGGAGCTCGACGGACTCTGTGAGCGTGTAGCCCATTTCTTTGCCCCTGCGGTCGCGCGTGAGGCCGACCTGTTCGTACCAACACACGTCGCGCTTCTTGACGAGGCCTTTGCTCGGCGACGCGACGGTCATCCACTTGAAGCACGAGAGGAAGAACGGGTTCGACGGGCTCCGCGTGTCGAGGACGCCCAAGACAGCGCAGTCGACAACGTCGGGGCGATAGACGCCCGAGAGCCGCCGAAAGTCGGGCGTATTGTCGGCGTAGCGCCCCATGACGACTTCGTCCAACGTGCCGTCGAGACGGCCCGTGAGGCGGTACTTGTAGTCGCGGTCGCTCGCGACTTTGCGCAGGCGCTCGACCGTGAGGTCGTGACGGTGTTTAATGGGTTTCCACGTGCGGTCGCGACTGTCGCGCGGGTCGGTCTGCTGCTGCTGCTGCTGTTGTTGTTGTTCGCAATGAAACGCGTCAATGGTCTCCTCGAGGAGCGCGTCGCCCCATTGACGGAACGACTGCGCTTCGCGGGCACTGAGGCGCAGCGGCGGAAAGTAGTCGAGTGGCAACGGGAACGTCATGAGAGGAGACAATGACGAGACGGCGATCGATGGGTATGGACGTAGGTATGTACGTCTGTGTCTCTCTGTGTGTGTGTGTAGATGAGTGAGTGGCTGGCGGGTGGATGAGTTGCAGTGAGTGCGGTGCGCTGCCACAGGGGACAAGTGGGGGGGGGGGGAGACGGTCCGAAGGGCGTTCGGACGCTGAAAGGAGTGGAACGAGTGCGTGAGGAATCGAAATGGGACGAAGTGGCGGAAGTGGCGGAATATGGGAATGTATCGGGTGGGACATGTTGGCCCCCCCCTCTCTCCTGATCCGCTCGACGCGGTTGTCGCATTGCGTGCGTAGTATGTATAGTATGCGTTCGGACGCTGCTGACTGGTAATCAATGGTGAAAGGCCCTCCTGCGCCCGTGCTTTGCGTTCGCAGCTTTTAGCGACTTGACTACTCCAACACGACGCCATGTGCCAGTTGGTAATGGTCGTGTCCTGCGACTCCTACTGCTTCAACGGGGCATTTCTCGGGCAAAGGAGTTTCGAAAACGCATTGTCGCCCGTGTTTATCGCTTTGTGGCAACTACGAGGCGACTGTTTCTCTGGAGCGACTGTCTGCGTGGGGCCTCGTGTAGTGTGAGAGACGAATCCCACGCGGGAAGCAATTCGAGTCGATGTGGAGCGATGTGGAGCGATGTGGAGCGATGTGGAGCGATCTGCTGCTGCTGCTGTGTGAGTGATCGCAGCGACGGCGTCAGTTGGTCATTCCCAGTGCGGCGTTCACGCTCCAGTCAGTGCGTCGCTGTTGCTGGACAATCGGCAGTAAAATGGCAGTGGTAAAAACGACTCACACGCGTAACGTGCCTGTGGCATGAGCAGTGAATGCGTACGTGTTCATTGTATGGCAAAGACATTGAATGACAGCGAAAGAAGCGGTCGCCGCTCATTGCGAAGAAGCGGACAGATCGTCGCGCGTGTATATATATATGATGGCCATGCGATCGTGTAGCGCGCCAGACGATCGAAGTGGTCTGCGACTTTTGTACCGCGCGAATCTTATCGGCCGTTGCAGCGATCGTCTGACAGGTATAGTACACTGAGAAGCGACGAGGGATGTGCTCTATTTGGCTCGCTGTGCAGGCGCGGCACACGCTTTCGACTAGCCATAGGATTACGCACACAAGTGTCCGGCGTACACATGATTACGAGCCGCATGTCTGCAAGCGATCATCATTCAGAGCTCTTGCGCGTGCGCTCTACGACAGTGCGTCTTGGCGCAGCTGTCGTTGCGCAAACCCATTTGGAATCGATGTCCGTGACCGCGTTTACCAAACAGCTGACCGGATCATGAGAAGCTCTATGATCGAGCGGCGTGGGTTACTACCGACTGCCTGTGAGTGGAACAATCGACCAACGGACACTTGCGAGTGTCTGTTTACTCAACGACTTGTGCTGGACGTGTGCGCGGATATCGAGTGCAGGTTCTCAGATACTGCTAACATCAGGGAACGGGTCTGGAAAAGGATCTGGTGGATAGCGAGCGTGCCAAGTGTGCGACACCGCAATATAATACTCACGTGCAACAGTGCGACCATGAGCTGGGAAGTGCTTTTGCTGCACGAGAAGGAAGTGAAAGGTCCACACATCCGACTTTGACACCTACGAGCGGCATGTATCTCCGAAGAAACAAAGCGGTCTGAGTGGAATATGGGCAAAAGCGTGTGCCTTGTGCTGGCAACGACACTGTGTCAGTGTGTGAGTAGGAATCGGTTTGACTCCGGCCTTCAGCATGTCAACGCCCAGTTTGCGACAAGAGCCATATAGTGAGTACTTTAGTGGCCGTAGTCATGTTACGCATGTTGTAAGCCGTACTGGTACATCGACAGTCTGTTTACCTCTCTCTCTCTCTCTCTCTCTCTCTCTCTCTCTCTGGTGTCTACTCAAAACGTCAGCAAACAGTGCTGCGACCACTTTGTCTGTCTGCAAGCTCCTTGACCCGCACATACACCAAAGACTTGAGAGCCATTGGAAAACAATGTATGCGTGACGCAGGGTCTTTTCCAGATACAGGTACGTGTGCAATTGCTGCTGTGTTGTGGTCTCAGCATGCAGAACCTGTGGTCTACCAGCTACGTGCGCCTCAATTCGTTCGTAGTACGTAGTGTTCATCAGAAGCTTTGGTCCATGTGATACGCATACAGTGCTTGTGTGTTCCTAGTGCACGAAGATCAGCAGCACAACAAGTGCGTACGGATCGGTTCGATGCTTCCGCTTGTCATTGAACAAGTCGTCCATTGCATCCCATGCCAAAAGACCTGTTTTGTACATGTTAATTGATCGATTGATTGATTGATTTCATCATTCACAAAAGTCGCGGTAGCCGTTAAGAATTGCGATATAGTGTCTTGCGTGACCAAAACGGAGCTCGTGCAAGTAAGTGCAAACTAGAAAGTAGGTCCCGTCTTTTCGTTCCAGAAAAAAAGAGAGAGCTTTGGCTGGCCCGCACGTTCACGAGGTGACTTTCGTCGTTCTAAATCAACACAAAACATGCACGAACCATCCGATCTAGAAACCAGTGAGCCGTCGCCGGCCGAGGAGCTCAAGTTCGTCGCCGAGAGGAGCGCGGGCGACGACGCCGAAGGCTTTCCACAGCATCTCGAGTGCGTAGCGGTGCTCACGATGAAGTGCGGCGAGCCACTGATGGCCGTGCGCAAGAAACTGCACGACGAGATCGCGATCGCGTTTATTCCCGATGAGGGGTTTGGCGTCTTCCAGAGCAAAGTCGAGCGGCACTTTAGTAAATTAGGGCCAAATTACGTCCAAGACCAGCGCGCGATTTACCTCAAACCGAGCAGTAACGCCACGCAGTCCAAGTACGTGCAGCTGACAAAAGAGAACTTTGATCCGTTGCTGCGCGTGCGCTGGAAAGTCGCCCGGAGCATGAAAGTCGAGCTCAAGTACGAAGTCTTTTGCTATTTTGTCGACTTGACGACCAAAAAGGAGAAGAAAAAGCTGTCCATAAAGGTCTTCCAGCAGCAGCAGCAACAGCAGCAGCAGAACAGCAGCAGCAGCAGCAGCAACAGCATTCGCAGCTAGTGGACAGCAGTATCGAGACCATTGGAGCTGGTGCTTCGGCTGGTGTGACGGCGTCGCCCACTGCGTCGTTCATGCCGTTCGGGTCAGCAGGAGGTCCATCTGGTTTTCCACTCATCCAGAATTACGCCGACATGGCAATGGACGGATCGCTTACGCCCGTGACGGGTGCAGTCAAGTCGGCTGTTGTTGCACGGACGGGTTCCACAGGCTGTAAGCATGCAGGACGGCTGGACTCGACACCTCTGGGGAGCAGCGACCGACCGCGCAAAGTGGCGCGCAGCAAGCACTTGACAGCGACAGCAGATCCGTTGCAGTTTGAAGCAAGTGCCGAGGAACCCGTGTTCCACACGATCCCGTTTCGGATCAACGGATTCGTCGTCCCGCTCGAGGTGGACATCAATGCCTTGAAACGAAGTCTGGGACTAGACCTCGCGCCCTCGGACGTGCCTGCGAGCGGTCTTGACCCCACTGCACATTTATAACAACAAGGCACGCCGCGCAGACCATAGTACGAGTCGTTCAAGCTAAACGACAACGGACGAGCAGGAAAGTGACTTACGAGGTCCGTACTCGTCAACGACGAAAGACCGCGGACAAGCACGCAGGGACTGTCACGTACGTACGTAGCAGTAGGCTTGTAACGAGGTCGCTTGTGCTCCACAAAGTGCATTGAGATGCATTGTGTACTGAAATGACATGCGAACAGTCTTCCGAAATCAGCGTGCATCATGAACCAGTGCAGCACTTGTCCAGGGTCGAGACCAATGCACCAAAACGTCACACGAGTTCCGCCGAGCCCGAGCCTTTCGAAGCACGTATAGCGCTAACAACCTCGAGATGCTGCAATCTTCGCGCGGATACAGCTAGAGCTGAGGGTACTGCTCTCCGTGCGACGACATGCAAATACGCATAGCTTGGGCAATCCCCGACCAGCGCGGATGCTGTTGATCTTGGCCGCCCCCGCCAGCGTTTCCGTGGACGCGACCATCGCTGCCGCCTCGGGGATCACAATCGCTGGACCAAATGGGTCGTGGATCGTCACGACTTCGGCCACGATCGTCGGGTTGAGGAACGCAATGTAGGCGCGCACAGCGCTCTTTCGCGTCTCCAGGGGCTCCAGCAGCTCTGCATGCAGCTTGTTTTTCAGCATCCGATCTGCCGTAACGCCCACGATCATGCGCGTGGCGCAGATACCAACGGCGAGCGACAACAGCTTTTTGTGCCCATTGTGCAAGTGATCGAACGTGCCTCCGAGGATGACGAGGCCATGCGGCGTCAAGTCTGCGTGCTCGTGCTCAAAGTACGTCACGTCGGCAGCCAACCGCCTGTCAATGTGCATTGCCAGCGGATAGTACGTGACTGCAAAGAGGCCGTCGTGCTCAAAGCGCTGCGCGTTCAGCTGCTGCACATTCACCAACGCGTCTTCGCCAAACACGGCGTTCAGCTCGGGCAGCCGCACGAGCTCTTCCCACGTCTTGCTGGCCGGCGTCACGCCGCTGCCAACGATCCTGCCCGGCCCGAGTTTAAAACACACACAAAAGGCATCAGCACACGTGTTTTTTACAACCGGCACGGCTGGAATCAAACAACATAACACAACAACAACAACAACAAGAACAACACCGACTGATTGACACACCGTACCGCAGGTCCAGCAGCGGGTTGTCCAGTGTGCACGCCACGTCCCACGCCAGGCCATAGAGTTCGCTCGTGTAGGTCACCACCTCGTGCTTGTCGCGCCCCGAGACGAAAATCACGAGGCTATGGGACACCAATTCGACTGCTTTTTCCAATAAAACATCGTTTTTTACAACGTCGCTGAACGTCTGCGGCACGTGCATGCGAAGGAGCCCGACGTGGACAGGAGAGCGCCTCTTCTGTAGCGACTCGGCACGACGCACCGCGTGTTTGTGCAGGGCCGAGACGCCGACGATCGTGGCAATGCCTGCAACAACTGCACATGCGGTACTAAGGCGAGAGACGAGCGGTGTGTCGGTTGCGAGCGTGGGCAGCTGCAGCTTTGTCTCCATGTGCGACGCCTCCTGCAAAGTCGAGTGGACTGGAACGTGCTTTCGTGTGGTAAACATCGCCCGCCGAAAAAAACACGCGAATGAATCATGCTAATGATTAAAACCCGCGATCGACGCGCACGTCGTGAAAAGGTCCTTTTCACTGTGTTAAATACGACGCGAATTGTTTTCTACACCGCTGCGCGCGGCTGGTTAGTGGGACGATTCTTTTTGTTGTATGGAGTGCTCGACGAAGAAGTAAATCAAACGTCGCCTGACGTCTGTTTTCGATACATTGCAAAGATAGTTGTGCTTAGCACGAGTCATCTCCTTCCGACAATAGCGCTGTATTGCACTTGGGACGTGCCGTGTGACAGCATTGCATCGTTTTCAGAACCGGCGAGAGCGACGTCATGCTGCAAACATCACCTTCCTCATGATTGCCATCTCCTTCTGACTTTTGACACTCCGTGCTTCATCACCGACTCGCAGACTTTTCCGTCCTGGAAAATGATCCATTCGACATGGCTCATGATCTGCTTTATGAGCCGGCACTCTGCTTCTCTGGCATCAATGCTCATCGATCCACTTGCTGTAACACGCTCTTTTCCGCGGACCGTGTTGTCGTGCATGTACTTGCAATGCACTGAGCACAATGACTGTACTTGTAGGCCAGTCTAGTCCACTTTGCTCGCAGAAGTCTGCTGTGCCATCTGAGCTTGTACAGCATCCGCAGCTGCATGAAGCTCCGCGTACAGATCCATATTCGCGTTGTAGGTCGGTTTCAGCGACTCGAGCACACGCTCAACGAGCTTTTGCGTGACGATAGGGGGCACATCAGGTGACGCCACGACATGCCGGTGAAGAACGCTCATCAAAGTGACGCAATTCGCGACAAGGTGCATCGTCTCTGGTAACACCTCTCTCGGACGAATTCCGTTAGTCAATGTGCTTGATGTTCGTAGCTCCTCGTCGTCTTTTGCAATCTGTAGCGCCGACTCCGCGACCACTGTAGTCGCTTTTCGCCTACTCGCATCCAAGAAGTCGATGGCCCAACGCATCTGACTCTCGGTCAAGGTCTCGTCTGGCACTACACTACCCTCCTCCAGCGCATCATCGGTATCGCCATCGTTCATGCCCAAGTCTTCTCCTTCTTCACAATAATCGCTCTGCGAGAAAGACTGAAGGCTCAGCAGTGCAGCTTTCAAGCACACATTCGTAGCGTCCAGATTAGCGGCAAGCCAAGAGTGCTGCTTCCTCAACTGTTGCGTTGTGTGCGAATTGGTCCACGCAAGATCTTTCACGGCTGCAGACGAAGATATTGCAGGGGCGTTCCAAACGCTTGACTTCACAGCGCTTTTCTCGTGCGACCGCAACTGCATTGCAGCGACGCGTTCGTTCAAATTTGCCATTGCTAGTATGATCCGTTCCTTGCGGTGTAGCAGAGCTTTCACGGCCAGAACGGCACGACACTTTTTTTCACGGTGCCGTTCACTGACCGAGTCGGTAGCGTTTGATGTCACAGGTGTTGAAGTGCTTCCGTGAAGCTCATGGTTGCGTCGTCGTACGAGCGTGGTAGCGGCTGCCTTTAACCTTGCCATGCTATTTTTGCTTCGTCCTGACCATAGCGGAAGGTCCAAAGCCATCACGCTGTCCAAACTACACTCGACCACATCCTCTTCCAAGTCACTTCCGAAGTAGGCGACCTGACATGCTCCTGCAGTAGCGTGGACCTCGACCACGGTAGCTAGCTGGAAACGCCGCTCCGACTCCACCCGCGCTACCGAAAGGACCAGAGTACGACCACAGACTGTAAGCTCCTCAGAGCAGCGCCAATCTAACAAAGAGCAAGTGCGTACCAATGACTGTAGTTCCAGGACGCAATACAGCAGTGCACCGATATGGACATGTTTTATCATCCGGCTGGTCGACACCACACGAGCAAACAAAAGTTCAACCTTCACATCCAACAAGTGCTGCACTCTTCACACGTACCATGTGCGTAGCATCGATTCGGCGCTTTGCGAATCGGTACGCCTCGAGCTTTTGCTTTTGCTGAGCAAGAAACAACAGACTCAGACGTCGACGACGACGACACCATGGACGCTCGTACCGACGACCAGATCGGCCGCGCAGCTGACGTGACCTTGTCAAGTCCCATGCCACTGAGACACTCGAGAAACTCATTGCGAGTGAAGAAGTCCATGTCCACGTACGAGTAGAACCAATGGCTCCAGGGCAAGTCGAACCTCGGGGCGCAGAGCCCAACGAGTCTGGCGTCAAGTGGTTTGTCCGCCGAAAGCTCCCGTACCAGCCACGCTCTCGCCCGCCTAGGTGCATCTTTTCTCCCGCTGTTTCTTCTCCTACACGATCGTTCCAGTACCTCGTTGTGATTCTTTGCCTGTCCCCGGGACGTCTTGACGTGCTTCATCACCATGAAAGTCTCCAGTCGACGTTTCTTTCGATCCCTCGCCGCTTCCTCGTCGTGTTTCGGCTCGCAAAGGTCCGCCACATTGCACTTGTTCAGCTTTTCATCGGCCATACATATCGTCCTCTGCTTATCCTGTGTATCGTAATGGTCCGTCATAATAGCGCAAAAGCCTTCGACCGACGCCTCAGCGAGCGACAGATAGCCGCGGTGCATCTCGAACAGCGCGCGCACCATACCGACCAACCGATGCGGAAGACGCTCCACGATCAGATCCCATTGCTGTCCGTGCGCCTTGAGCAGTACGTAGAACGTCCGCAGCTCCGTAAGCGACCAGCGCGGGCCAAGTACCTGTTCGGACTGCATGCGTCCAAAAGTAACGGTGTATTGTCATTTTTCGAGAACGAGTTCGTGTGTAAACTTAAAGTTTGGGGTCGGACTCGATTTTGCTTTGTTTGCGCCGACGAAAAAAGCGAAATGGAAAACTGTTCTTGCGGAGACGACAATTATTGTTCGTGGCTCCAATAGTATGACCGATGCCACGAATCGTATCCATGTACTCTAAAGTCGCTCGTGCGTGACGCTAACTGGACGCGATGAGCGACTCTAACTCAGGTGCATGTTCTATTCATTGTTACTGCAGGTAGAGACGATAAGAGGCAGCATGGCTACAACACAACCAGTAGTTGTCAGTGAACACACTGGTCCTCGAGACACACTCCTTGGCTGGTCCACGCTGGTGCAGCTGTGATAAATAGGGCGCTGGGTGGTACGTGAATGGATGGAGGATACGTGGCTCAGAAGTCAGTTGAAGCTGAGCTGCTCGACCCTTTGCCAGCAATGGGGACCACTTTTTCGCAACCGTCGGTCGATAGGTCGGTCGAGGTCCGCTACGAGAAGATACGAGTGAACGGTAAGTCTGTCACGACGCGAGACGGCAGCGGTCGTTTCGTCCGACTTTGAAGCAGCTCAGCAGCTGCTGCTTTGTCCGTTTCAAGTCCAGCGACAGAGACCAGTGAAGGGGAAAGACAAGCGAACGACCACATGAAGTCGGTCGTGACAAGCGCTCCAGCTGCACGACAGGTAGAGAGCGTTCTCGATTGTTGTCAGCTGACAAAGCGTCAGGAAGTTGTGCAAGCGGTACGAAAGCGTCTGGTCCGAAGTCAAACATGCGGTGGGCAGTCGATCGTGAGCACGCAGTTGCATCTCTGCAGCCCCCGAATCCACGCAACGATCGGGGCTCTCGGAGCTTTGCCACAGCCCCACAGCCACAGCAGTCGGACCTGCAAATGACGGCGCTGGTCTGTCGCAACGGACTGGGGGGGGCGCGGGATCGCACGTGTGATTTGAGCGGTCTACCGGCTGAACTGCGAGGTAACAGTCTACTGTCTCGAACGAGACGGGGACAGCGAACAAGTAGGACGAATAACTCGTACCGTGAGCGACGAGCAGCTGCATCGTCTCGGGCCCAGCAGTATAGCAGTACAGCAGCACGACAAATCCGCAAATGTCAGACCACGAGAACGTTAGACCGCCTGCGCGTTGCTTGTCGGCTGTCTGCCTGTCAGTTCCGCGGGCTCAGCAGCCACTGCCAGCAGCAAAGCAGGTCAGTTTGCAGCAACCGCGTTGGCTGGTCTGCTCGAGAGTCATGCCTGGAACGTTCGTGCACGACACGGAGTCGAGAGCCAGCAGCAGCACGAGCAGCACGAGCAGCACTGGAATTTCTCGTTCTTGCACTGGTGCAAGCACTGGCAACAACGTCCTTGTTCCTCACTGCACGTAGATCCAGCGTCGCCTCCGGCCCCAAGTTTGACACGAGCCCCACGTGTTGCGTACGGATCCGACCAGCGCCTTGTCTTTCGCAATACGCTGCGACAGGCGTTCCAGCACCCGTGCAACGATGCTGCATGGCGCCAACGGTCTCACAAGAGGCGAAGAGCTCTCCAGCCACCACCACAACAACGACAACAACCAGAAGAACAACAATGGGCATACCGCAAAAAACCGTCGAAGAGCAATACTAGAGACACTGCACTGTTCGCTGAACGGTCTTTTGCCTGCGAGGCGGTCCGCTGGTCAGCAAGTAGCGTTACTGCTGTTTCGTCGCCAAGAAAACGACGGGCTCTGTTGACTGGTCCCTCCGAATGCGTTTCGGACCTGCTTCGACGTTGTTCGAGCTCGTCCGCTGTCTTCTGCGTTGGACCTCTTCTTACTGCGATTGTTGTTGTTGGTACGTCGCTCGTTCCTGTTGCTGTCTACAATGTGCGGCTCTTCGTCCACGTCACCGTCTCCTCGTGGCACGCACACAGACAGCAAGACAGACAGACGGACAGATAGATAGATAGATAGATAGATAGATAGATAGATAGATAGATAGATAGATAGATAGATATATACATGTATAAATATATGTATAGACAGACAGCTATTTAGACAGACGGGCCCCTTCGTTGTCCTTCTCGGCAAGTCTCGTCTTTGTGCAAAGATCGCAAAAAGTGATGAATCACGTGGAAGATTTCTGAACGCTGTGAGGTCGCGCGTGGCAGGTGCAGATGTGTATAGTATCACGTTTGACAGGGGCCAAAGCTCGGCACATTGTGCTGGTATACATCCTACCACGAAGGCGTATCCAGCACACGCGCGCGAAAGGTCGCCGCGAGTCGCAGCCCATGCGCACGCGAGAGCGCAGACTCATCTCACACACACACACACACACAGCAAAAGGGACAGCCTCGTTTCTCGTCGTTGTCCCATCCCACGAGCGATCGAGTCTCCAGTAGTCGACGCGAGAGCCGTTTTTTTCTTCTTCTTCTTCTTCTTCTGTCGTTGTTTTCTTCACAAGAAAAGATTCCACAGATCGGTATTTGCGCGACCGCCCGCACGTCTCGTTTTAACCGCACACGATGGCAAAAGCGAGCAAGAATCCGATCGACGTGCGCGTGAATGGCACGTCTACGTACGAGCGCCGCGCCTGGACACGCAAAGAAGACGACGCGATCATTCGGCTGGTCGAAGAGTACGGGATCAAGCGCTGGAGCGTGATCTCGGACCACCTCAATGGCGAGAACCACGGGACAGAACGCACGGGCAAACAGTGCCGCACGCGGTGGCTGAACCACTTGGACCCGACGATCAAGAAGGATCCGTGGACAACCGAAGAAGAGCAGATCATTGAGGACGCCCAGACGCGACTTGGCAACAAGTGGGCAGAAATCTCGAAACTCCTGCCTGGCAGGTTAGTTTAAAACACGTTTTAAACGATTTGGTTGGGGTGCACGGCTATGAGCTGACAGTAGGTGGGGAAACTAATGTTACGACGTGTGCTGAACGATAGGACGGACAATGCAATCAAGAACCACTGGTACTCGTCCATGCGACGGACAATGCGTCGCATGGCGAAACAGCAGAGCAAATCCCTCGGTCAAACCACACGAGGGGTGGAAAGTACAAAGACTGCCAAGTTTAGCGTCGACTCGACGCCAGATCCTGCTGGTTCAGCCATGATGAGCTTTTCCCAAGATACAGTGAATGCGAGGCAAAACCTCTTTTGTCAACCTGACAGGATGATGTCGACGCAGAATTCGGTGTACGGAGACTGCTACAACGTTGCGTTGATCCAACAGGCAGAAGATGGAAAAAGTGGCGGCCAGCGCAGTGCACAGAAGAGCATGAAGAAACTCAACACAAAGCGGAAACGCAAAGATTTGCGGATCTGCACGGGAAGTGTGTCGATGGTGGAAAACAATGGCATGTTCTTGCCGGATACACCTCGTCGTGTATTGCACACCCAGCTATTGCTGCAGCTCTTGAACACGGGAGACGAGGATTTTGGTGGCGCTATCGTTACCGTTGCAAGCACGACAAATAAGAGCAAAAAACGTCATATGCAAAGCAAGAGGAACGGCGGAGCTGGCGGTGCTGGTCGCGGCATAAATGGAAGCGAGCAGACCCTCACCGACATGGATGGCTCCTTCCAGGCTTTTGAGCACCTTGACGTCGACTTTAACGAGGTAACATAGCTGTTTGTGATGTCTGAGTCATGTGGCCGGTCAATGCTAACTGCTATTTGTGCACGATGTAAACAGCAAGTAGCCGAGTTCTTCAACATGTCTACACCTCGGGGATTCCAGCCTTCGCACAATTTGCGTCGCTCCCCACGCTTCATGTCACCAATGGGTTTTATGAAGGCAGACGGCACGAAGTTTTCGTTTGACGATCTTGACTTTCCTGCAGAGTTGGAGTCGAGTATGCTTGAATTCGTAAGTTCCCTGTCCATGTTGTATGCATGACCTACAGCGTTTCGCTAACTCAGTGACATTACCTCTTGTTACAGGAAATCTCCAGCGAAAATGGCGGAATCCTTCGCCGTTCCCCTCGACTGCGAGCGGACGTGTGTGTAGCGTTCCCCCATGCAAACGCGTCGACGTTTGGAATTGGTCGGCAACCATCGCCGCACAAGCGTTTGGTGCCGCCAGCGATTGATGTTGCGCTACAGCAGGAAGCTTTTGACTTCGACTATTCTGTTACGACTACGCTGAAGAGCCCACAGCTCCGGCAATATCTCGATCGATCACCCAAGAACTTCGTTGCGTCCGTCTAGAACATGACGATTCCAATCTACCTGAACTTTCCAAGGCACGACAGAGACACCAAACAAGATTATCCGTGGGTCTGGTCTCAATTCCAAGTACAAGGTATCCAGAGTCGGAAGTGCGACGACACTTGGTGACAGCGCCGGCATTGAACAATGAGGTGGGAAGGCATCGTCACGTGTCCAACGACAACCACACCGGCATAGTGAAGCGGCATATCTATCCAGAATGAAGACCGAGTTGACAGGAAGTCTTGATGACTCAGCATCTGTGGTCGTGGACACATAAATTGTGAGCTGTGTCATAGAAAGTGGATGAACCCTGTCAAGATTTGCGTAATGTAGCTTGCTCATCATCGAACGATAACAGTAGTTGCAGCGAGTCAAGGCATCACCTCGTAAGAAAGTCACAATATCTTTTTGAACGATACTTTACTGCCACAAGTGAGAGAATTCGAAGCGCTATTTTTCGATTGAGATGTTCTGTTTGTCAGTCCACGTTATGGCTCGATCCACAGACCAGCTTCGTGATGCATCGCATAGTTGGCAACATAATTGCCAACACAACGAACTCAACGATTGTTAGTACTTGCTGCGTGTTAGCCTAATGTGCCGACTGGATGCATGGAAAACTTGCTGGATAATTGCGATACGAGGCAGTTCGTTTCAGGTGAATGTTGGATCAGTCGTCGTTCGACGGAACAACCCTGTGTTTGAAAGCAACGCGAACACTAGTGTGGACAGCTAGTGTGCGCTGACAAGCACGGACTCGTATTTGGTGTTCGCGGGAACTTCGACTCTTCAACGATACGCCATCCATCTCAACATCCTTTCAGCTTACGTGTGAGATAAAGACAGGTTTCACCCAAAGAAAGAACAAGCAGATGAGGACGTTGTTGGCTAGAACAGGCAGTCGACTACAAGGCTTTGCACCAGGATCGCGAGCTAAGGACATTAAACAGAAGTTCGCTCGCATTTCGAGTGGCAATGCTGTGATTGCTCACATAAGTAGTGTGTGAACCTCCGCCAAACGGCTGCGTAGTCGTGTGACGGATGGTAACAAAGATTGCTTGAAACATTCGGTCTAGTGCACATTGGAATGGATTGACTGTTATCGACCTCTAGTCGAGATATCCAAAGCAAGGATACGGATTATATGTTGATGCTGCGAATCAGTCTGCACCTTCTACTTCGCGTGTATTACGAGCGCCTCGAGATCGGTACCGCTCTTGCGATAAGGAACCGCGTACGCACTATGCTGCTGACTTGCGAGATGGGTATCGTGATGGGAAAGCACGCTCCTCATTCGCTTTCTTCTTTACGTCTTCATCTTCTTTCTGTGTGTTGCTATGCTTCCCCTTTGGGTAAAGAACCGAGAAGATGTATTTGATCTCCACAAAAGCGCTGGCATATATCGAGTCGTAAAGCGTCAATGCTGTTTCAGTGCCCGCAACGTCGGGTCTCTTTGCTCGTTGTAAGCTCAACATACACATCATGTACATCAGATTAAGGGTGTCACAGGCATGGGTGCAAGGGTGATATACTCGATGCCTCGAACCTGCACAGGGATGATACGAGACGTCAAGTCGGTAGACTGATAATTCGACTAGCTGTCTCCCACGAAAAGGTTGTGCAGAAGGCAAATTCGCAAGTCCCGTGAGGATTGATGTATCAATGGCCAAACTAACATTACACGAGCATTTCGACTACTGTGAGTTTACATGTCCATCTACTAACTAACGTGTTAGTTCTTATGAAATAGCCCATATTGCATGACGACTTCGCTTTACAGTGGCAAGCAACCAGCTCTGAGAAATGTGAGTGAGTAAAGAGATAGCATGAGAGCCCATTCCTTTTTGCTGCAACATAGTATCTTCAATCCGTATCCAACAATCGTAACGAGCCAGTGCTGGCCACAGCCGCATTAAATGGGGCATGAAATAGACTAGGGCAATGGGTGAAAGTTCCTCTGTTTGTCAATAAAATCCGAGCATAATGCTGTGGCTACGTGATACGCCTGGATTCGCAGTCCAAAAGAGGAATTATTGTTTTCGTGACTTGGTGCCGTGCACAGAACCGTCATCCTCCTCACGCGGCAGCGGATGGGCGTCTGCAAAGAGTCTTTTGCTCATTGATTAAACTTGTGTCATTGAACTCATTCCTTTGTCTTGTTGGTAGTGCACAGACAAGACCAGTCATCGTCTCTCCTTTTCCCCTCCTTCAGTCCAGCATATTACATACGCCAACAATTTGCCCCACCACACGACAACTGCGACAAAGCTATAGTTCTTACGCCTAACAGCGCACATACCGTCCACCAGCCGCATACACTATCCATTGGTAATGTCGACGAAAGTACGCATGGACTGACTTCAGATCCCTGGACTGAAGTACTCTTATCCCAAAGAGCGAGCGTCAGACTTATGTCTAATGTTTAGTGTGGCTGTGCCATACGCAGGATACTACAACGTTACTGCAAGCATACTGTACTGACTACAGCACGACAAACGACGTATGCTCACACGCTCATACTTTGGCAGTATGTGAGGTCGCTCTCGTACGGACGAGCAGTCGAATGTATAGCAAGCGCTACGTATATACATAGATTCCTTTGATGTGCAGCGTGGTGGGCATAAATCGCACGTAGAACTCGCAAAATCGCACTCACAAGTCGTTCTTATACGTTTCGATGAGCGCACCAACATTCATCGTCATACTGCACCGGTGTAACAAATCATCACCAGTCTGAATGCAGCGTCATCTGTACCACTTCCTGCAGCGTTGCGAACAAGCGGCTATATAGAGTTTCATCCTGCTTTCCTGTTTGACATGATCGAATCGTGATGCTAGTTTCCACACGGCGTTGCGTCAGTTTGCCGCAATGAGCGACGCATGTTACAGCATGAGAGATGCACTGTATTCTGCAGCATCCACAAGTAAGCGCTCACCCTTTGAATGACTGATGACTTGTTTAACCGGAACACATCCTTTAAGCTGTATACCTGCGGCTTTGACGAGATTGGTGCTTGTGCTGTTTTTAGTGCTATCTCACACACGATCCTGCTCGCTCCATGAAGAGGTTCCTAATGCTGTTCTTCTCGTCATGTTAGCTGAATCATCTAATTAAACGCAACAGCTTCCGAATGTTGATATGAGCTGCCCACACGATTGCAAATTATTCTTGACGACAAGACATCCAAGAGGCAGACAACCTCATGATCAGTTGGTCCCAATACAGGTAAAGGTCGATCGAAGAGAGGGATCTTTATACTGAGCGCGCAGGTTATGTGATAAGCAAATGCTCACGAAACGCGTCACCAGCCATACGGTCGATCATCTGCGCCGTGAAGCGCCGATTCGTTTGTCCCTACCTTTCTTTGCAGCTATTGCTGCACCTCGAGTCTTGTCGTGGCCAGTTGCTTCTTCTTGTGCATGAAACTGCGATGCTCGTGTTCATGTTTAGTGGCTGTGTGGTGGCGACGAATTATCGTCGGTGGCTTGGCGGATGACATGTTGTCATGAAGGGTCTTGTACCTTCGACGTGAATGCCTATGAGCAAATGATCCTCTGTTTCGGTTGCACATCACATTCCATCCTCAATAGGCACTCCAAGAATCATGCACTCATCTTGGAGCCTTGCACTTTACGTCTTCGTTAGATGGGGTCGATCACACGAGTGTATGAACGTTACCTGTCACATGTCAGATGAAGCATACCAACCACGTACATCTCTCATGATGTGCTTGTAGTCAGTGCTCGTTGACGCATGAACGCATATGTCGGTGACTTATGCTTTCGTGCAATTATAAGTTGCGGTGTACCGCGATACTTCTGGAGATCTCCGATGGTAGCTTGTGCTTTGCGTGCAGTGACTGTACCTGCAAAAGTAAAAGACTAGTCAACGGATCGACACGCGATCCGATAATACGAGGTGTGATGGGTAGGAAAGTGATAGCATGTATGATGCTAAAAAGCTGCAATAGTTTGTGCAACACGTTCATGGGATGCACGCGTGGCTAGAAAGAGAGCACTTAGTGTATTCAGACAGGTGTGAAGAGTGCGCCGCCGCCGTTCCTACTTCTTGTCAGCAAAACGAGATCATAGACTCGATGTGGCACCATCTATGGCCAAAAGAGGCTTTTCATCACCTTCTCATTTGCTAGCCTGGGAGAAGAATCGGTCAGCACTGGTAGATGAGTGTTTGGAGCTCTATTTGCGGATGACTAAGACGTCAGGCTCTAGCACATCCATGACCTCTTGTAAGCAAACTTGGTTATCCTGCCCACTGCGATCCCAACGGCATGACTCTTATGCATAGTGCAAGCTTCATGCGTAGGATGTCTCGTTGTATCGATTTCCTGAGACGAATCGACGCCGCGAGTACAACAAGCAACATCCAAAAAAACCTGGCTCGTCAGACCTATCAGAACGATTGATTGTATGTCATAGCTGCTGTCCCGGCCTAGCGCACACGATCAGCTTCTTGCGATTCCGACCAGCATCTGAATAGGTGGCAAGATAGTGCGATTCGGCGCTTTGATGACTACCGCCAGCGCGTTGTCAGTTTCTTGGGCCACTTACACTATTTTCATATATGTCCCTGATGACGGCGGTCTTCGAGTAAAAGAGCTACAACATGTTGGTATGGCACAAGTGGTCTGTTTGATCATTAGCTCTGTCAAACGTTTCCCCCGTTCATAGGCTGCGAGTCTTGAGCTCCGGACCGACCACTCGTCTAACGACAAAGCTGCTCATCTCATCAAGGCTTACACGACACGTACTGCTACCGTCTCTCACAAGCATGCGTTCCATACGTGCTGTCAAGTAGCGAACTATGGCCTAATATTCTACATCATTGATAAGACACTAGTGTCTGAGATGCAAAGGTTCCATTGTGAAGCTTGCCATGCTGCTTTCCTGTCTCGAGGCACTGCATCACTACAAACCGTGCAAAAACGTGAGAGTCCATTGGGTTGGCCAAGACACAAGACTGTAATTATGACCTCAGTGCTTGCGACTGCATCATTCTGTACATCATACATCCCTCATGCTGCCCGCAAGTGCTGCAAGTGGTGACTGCTACACAGCTCATGCCGATTTCTTCCCCGATGTTGCAGTCCAGCTAACTTCAGCCTGACGTCACACAAGCGTTAGTGACAAAATCTTAAATGTGGACTTCCACGATACTCTGGTTTTTCGTACTGAACTAGCTGTACCAACGCAAGCGCCCCAAATCACCTTGTCTGCTCGAGCCCACGTGTCTTTGCGTGTGGCTTTCCGCGACAAGATTCATCTGTATCAAAATAAAGTCCACACACACGATGAGGCCCGATTGACAGCACCACTGTACTGTTTTTCCTCGAGAAAGACCATTGCAGTCCAAAACTCTGTAAGCACCAAAAAGAGAAGCACAACATGGCTGTGAATGCAGATGGAACCTTGCATGAGTCTTACCTCAGCTTCGTCCAGGCAACATCGACCTGTGTCGATTTTCGAGAGCAAGAAAACTCGGCGTTGCGCGCCCAGGTGCACGACCTGACCGAGCTGCTAGCAGTGTTCAATCTCTGCGGGTTACATGATCCACATTTGATTGCTGTGAGAGACCGTGCATTTCGGCGCGACATTACGTCGAATTTGGGGCTGCTCCAGGCCTACGACACGAAACGTCAAATGCTGCAAGAATCCATTAGAAGTGAGATGAAGAACAAAGAGATCGTGGAAGGCGTGACTCGTGAATGCCATCAAGAGTGCAGCAAAGTCTCCGAGTGCCTTGACTCCGGTTCGAGCGTTCTCGACAAGTCTGACTCCGCACTCGATTGTCTGTACCAGCGCGTTGAGCTGCTCGAACGAGAAGTTGTTATTCTGCGCCTGCGCCAGGAGCTTCTGGAGGAAACAACACCACGGCTAGAATGTCCTTCAGGCAATGTCGAAGCTGATCAGACGTCGCAAGACCAGGATGTCGAGAACGAGCAGGAGCAAAGAGAGCGTGATGTGCTCTTGAGCAAGTGCTGGGATGAAAGCACGAGGACTACACGAGAGCAGCAGGAGCGAATCGCCGAGCTCGAGGACGCGCTAACTTTGGAAACAGCAAAGAATGCAGCACTGCAACAGCAGAGCCGCGGCTATCGGAAAGTACAGACGATCCTCCAAGAGTTCAGCCGGCACCGCTCCTCTGCATCGTAGTCGTACCCCGGTGTCGTCGACAGCTATGCAATAGGCATTCAGGTGCTTCATCATAAGGTTGCCAGTTCGCGGCATGGTCAAGTCGAGACATGTGCAGCAGTCACGAGCGTTATCACGCTCATCATTGCGTATGTAATGCAAACAACCCGCGTCATTCGATAGTGAACTACAGGTCTTGTCGATGAGTGTGTTGGATCAAACAAGTGGAACCTTACTCGGTGCCTCACGACGTAGTTTTCAGATGCAGTCTGTCGCTACGAAACCTCGAGCCAGAAGCTTACGGTCGCATGGACGTCTCGATAATCCAGAAGATACTTATAACGCAACACAATATTCTTAGTAACGTTCATCCAGGCACTAACCTTCTGATGTTTGTAAAACAATTCGATGATATAAAATGGGTAGTTGCGTCCGCCATCGCGTTAGGTTTCTGATCGTACAGTATGAGCTCAGCTGTGACGGTGAAGTCCTTTGAAAAGCTCTCATTGCTTCCGTGAGCTGAAGTTTCGATGAGCAGCGGCGCATGTTTTTTTATACAACAGTATAAATAGCACTACAGATCGTGCGATTCGCGATTTCAGATCTACTCTATTTACATCAACCGTAAAGACGTCTTTTAGCAACGATCGGACCGTGCAATTCCACCAATTTTCCACGTACTTACAGACGTCTGTTTGTTTCTCTAAAGCGCTGTAAAGCCGTCTTGTCGTAAGTGCGCTTTCGACCAACGCACGTCTACGTCCCACATCATGGCTACATCCCGGTACCACGTACCCGCCCCAGCCGCCCTTGGGCTCAGCCTCCGTCGTCTGATTCCATCGCTTTCGCCACGCATGGCGCTGCTCGCCGCGTCACTCGCTCTGAGCGCCGTCGCTGCGGCCCGCGCCGCTCCGTTCACGTCGCCTTTCGACTCGTCGTACGTCGTGCAGCTCTATGACCGCCGCGACGACTTTGTGCCACCTCCGGCCGCCGGTCCTCTGCCGTCTGAGCTCATGACGACCGCCGCCGGCCACACGTTCGAGTGTTTTCTACCGTCTCTCGCTCTTGTCGACGCCGACACTTCCGAGCCATTGGACCGTACCAACGAGAACGACGTCAATGGTCAGGAGCAACAAGAGACTGCGCAAGAGGCGGACGCGTTGTTGGCGTTGAATCGCGCGGCCGTACGGGAAATGCAGAGCCTGTGCGTCGAGTATACCGACAAACAGACCTCGTGGCGCTACGAGATCTGCGTGAATGCCTTGATCATTCGCTTCCGGAAAGCGCCAGTGGAAGTGCAAGTGGACGCCGCAGGAGCAGGAGCTGCGGCCGACGTGGGGGCGCGACGCAGGGAGTCGGAGTTTGAAGAAGTTGGCATGTTTGTCGCGGACAGCCGTCGCGCTGCAGGCCGATTCGACGAGTTTGCTGACCCCGAGACGCAAAAGCGAGTGACGGGCGACGGCCAGTCGCTGTTTACACAGACGTATGACAAGAGTGGACAAGAGGTGCAAGTGCAGTTTGTCTGCGGTGCTAGTGCGCGTGACGACGTCGTGGCTGCTGTGCAGTGGCGAGAAAAGCTGGCGACGAACGGTGAACGTGAAGTTGCTGCGTTTCTGGTCGAGTCACGAGCGTTTTGCGACTTGCAAGAGTCGAAAGTCGACAAGGATGGACTGGCTACGGTGCAAGCGGTGCTGCAGCCTCTGCAGGATGCGGACACGTGCGTAACACGAGACGAAGGCTGGTGGACGTACGAGTACTGTTTTGGACGTTCGGTGCGACAATATCATCGCGACGAAGACGGTCAGGTGACACTCGACTTTTTGCTGGGTGTGTTTGATGCCGAGGGGAATCGCGAGTTGGAGCGGTTGGACTCTGCACTGGTGTTGGAGCCCATTGATGAGACACACGACGTACCCCGTCCCGCGTTCGTGGAGCTGTACAATTTCGGGACATTGTGCAAAACGTCGGAGAATCAGAAGCCGCGGAAGGCAAAGGTCTTTCACTACTGCAGCCACGACGACACGGTTGAGCGCTTGATAATGACGAGGGAGGTGCAGACGTGCGTGTACACGGTCAAGGTGTCGTCTCCAGTCTTGTGCGACCACCCGCACTTCCTCAACGACGAGCGGGAGAGCGACCAAACGTTTGAGATCGTGCACTGCATCCCGGCAGTCGATGCAGTAGTAGAAGCAGTGGAAGCATCGGAAGCAGTGGCTGCATAGAAAGTGGTGGAAGAGGACGAGGCAGAGAGGTAGCGACATTGATGTATTGCACGGTATACCTCTTCATGTCAAGATGGGTCAATGGTGAACTTTTTTCGTCGGAGTTGAGAATCCGCCCGACATGTTGCGATGGACACACCGTTGTGTATGTGGTGGGTCGGTGGCGGACGATGATTGGCTAACCTGCAATGCATCGAGATCGTTCTCGTGGCTCCAGGGAGATGGGGCATAGTGAAACGAAGGTAAAAAAAAACATACCGCTGAAACTGGTCGGTGGGCACGTGTGGTGGTGTACCGCGGAAGACCGTACACAGACCAGGGACGTCGGACCCGCCTCGTTGCCGCCACTCATTTGACGGATAGCTCAGTCTGTCATTGTCCAATTTCCCCCGTGAAGTGTCCATTGCGTGGTCGCATCCGTCTCCCTCCATTCTCTCTGCCCGTCCCCTCCTCCCGCCTCCCGCCCCCGTCGCTTTCCTCGCCCGAACGTCCCGTGTGTTCATGCTGGTGGTCGACCCGATTCATACCAGCATCGACGACATTGTTGACCCTACTTCGATCTTCACGGGCTTCTTCTACATTGGCGCGTGCGACGATCCAGCCTAACACCAACGAGCATCGACTATCTACACCGGACCAGTTTCGAGCCTTCTTCTCACACTTTGCCTAGTTGATCTTCAGCTGGTCGTTCTTCATTTCCGGTGTCTGGCAAAGTATCCCAACTTCCACAATGGCCCACTCTTTTCCTGAACCCGTAAAGCCGACCGACGACGAGACGAGCTCGACGCAATCGGAGACGTCCGACACGATCCCGAACACGTTTGAGGGTCCGGAGAAGAACCTCGAGATTGACTTTAAAGCGGGCGTCGGCTGCGCTCGTGGCTTGCGAGAGGTGTCCCGTTCCGACCTGGACGAGATGCTCGAAGCAGGACAGTGCCAGATCTTGTCGTGCATTAGTAACGATCACATTGACGCGTACGTGCTGTCGGAGAGCTCCATGTTCATCTACGCGCACAAGATCGTGCTCAAGACGTGCGGGACCACGACGTTGCTCAAGTGTCTGCCGTTCATCAATACGTTTGCTGAACGACTGGGCCTCGAGATCGAGTGGGTCAATTACTCGCGCAAGAACTATACGTTCCCCGAAGACCAAAAGTACCCGCACACGAGTTTCGAGACGGAAGTGGCCTTCCTGAGCTCGTACTTTCCAGATGGATCAGCGCATGTGTTGGGCCCGCTGAACCATGATCACTGGTACATCTACGCATGGGACGCTGACATCCACGAGCAACAGCCTGTGGCTGGTGCAACAACGCATGCAGAAGGGGGGAAAGAGCTCGGTGCGAACGAGAGCACGCTGCACGTGCTAATGCAGGACATGCATCCGAGTGTCGCCAAGCAGTTTTTCAAGAGCACTGACACGACGATGGTGGCTCGTCGGATGACGATCGAGAGCGGGATTCGTGATTTGGTGCCTGGCGCAACCATTGACGATTTCGCCTTTGATCCCTGCGGCTACTCGATGAATGGCATTTTGTTTGACGCGTACTACACGATCCACATCACGCCGGAAAGCCACTGCAGCTACGTGAGCTTTGAGACGAATGCGCGTCTTCGTTCGTACGCATCGCTGCTGAAGAATGTGCTGCGCTGTTTCCGTCCAGCTAAGTACTCGGTGAGTGTGTACACCGACCGCAATGCACTGGAGACGGCCAAAGGCAACAACATGTTGACTGAGGACCTGGTCAAGATTGATGACGACCTGCTGTACAAGCGCAAGGGTGGACACACGCAGGCCACGTTCGAAGGCGACTACATGTGCCGCATGGCCAACTACGCCCAAGCGCAAAACCCTCTGTTCAGCCGAGTCAAGCGAAAGTTCCGCTCTCCCTCGTTTGCCTAAGTGGAGGAAGCCGATGCATCAAAGACGTCGCTGTTTGGACTGTGGTTCAGCCTGCTCTGTTGCTACCGCTGTATGTCCATTGCAGAAGCATGGGAAGGATGTAGTATCAGAGCACCAGCGAATATGACACATGTTTGTATTTCTAACGCATTGTTGGCTTTTGACTGTATTTTGATGGAGAAGTCGAATCGATGCACCACGAGGATTGAATGGTAGAAAACAATACACTCCTCGATTTGAAACAAACACAAGGGAAGTAGCGCATTTACAAACGATGATACATCCACAACACAAGTGATTGATAGGCAATATGTATGGAAAGTTTGCGTATGTTTTGTAGCTACAGCCGGTGAGCTCTTCTTATCTATGTCGTGACGCACACATACGAGAGCGTGACGACTGTTTATGCAGTCGACAGACTCCCATCGTGTGTTTGCTTCATTTCGGTCCTCACAGGAGTCGCTCAGTGCCATATGTACTGACAGCATCTCTGACAACAAGATTTGCTGCAAATTGATTTGCTTGCAGCTGCATATCGTAGAGGCACCTTGGAAGGTTCTAGAACTTGACAGGCCACAAAGACCACTTCGAAGATAAGGCTAGATGGTTGCAAAAGGTAGTCAAAGTGCACACATATAGAAAGAGCCTCATCGTGTGCTACACAGCTATATCAAGCCGTTTTCACCACTGGACGTCAATACGATTCGGACGGCTTTACTTTTGGCGAAGGCCGAACACAACTTGAATGACATCTCGTTGACGATTGCATCATCTTTCGTTAAAGAAGATGTCTCTTAGCTGCTGCACGTCGGCGCTTTCGATCGCTCGTGCAAAATGCACCAAAACACGAATGGACATTCGTGGCAGGTAAGAAGTAGCAGAGATCGTGAAATAGTGAGCTAGTGGCCAAATAGCATGTCGACAGGAGAAGATGGAGATGGTGCAGTCTAGCGGAGAAACGATGGACCCAATCGACGTTTTCACATCGTGACTTGATCGATATGTATAAGATTACGTCCTGTCCGTAGTTATGCTACGTTCACGGCACGGCCGGTCTCCCTCCGTCACCTCAGTATACGAGGGTGAGATCGAACAATGCCTGTCTTCCGTAGCAAAGGTACCTGCTAGCTGACAAGCATCATGGTGCAACCTCAAGCGACGACCAGCAGATCCGAGACCAATCCGACGCCGCTAGACTACCGCGAATGATCAAGTTTTCGTGTGTCGTTACGAGCATGTGTAGGGATGTCAACAACATGGTCCATTTTTTATTGATACGAACATCTATACGGACATCACGCATCACATACAGCACGACGTGAACCACTGGCTCGAGACATCAGTCGAACTCGACCGTGGATCGAATAATCGCAACATGCAAACTACCCGCGAGAGGGCATGGCCAGCACAGCTAATGGTGGCCAGGAGAACTGCTCCTCACACGGTAGCGACTTCACTCATCATAGATAGCAACACCAGATAGTTTAATCTCTCTGGAAGGGTATTGTTGGTCGATAACGTTCCTCAATATACCTCACCTTCAACAACAACATGGTCCATTTTCCTGTATGATTCCAAACGTGAAGCGTATTATCGTACGTACGGCATGCCTCCTTGATTATGACCTTCTTTTTGCATTTAATCGTTCGGGAAATTTACACGTACTACATCAGAACGACCGTGCACGTGTACATCGAATTACGTTCGAATCATTAGATCGCGCTACTGTCAATTTCCGACGACGGTGGTGTCCGTCCTTTCGAATGGTCCATGTATAGCACATCCATGTTCACTTGACCTGTGTGGAAACAGCTTTGGAGAGATAGAACGATTTGTTGGTTACGCGTCGCAATGCTTGTGCATACATATGCATGTATTTGGATCTTTGATGTCGTTTTATCCAACAAACAAGGTCGACCTTGGTTTGTAGCTTTTGTGGCGCATATAGTAGATCTAGTCAATGGACAGCAAGTCTCTCAAAAAGACCGATTGACGTACAAGACGTAGATCAGGGAGCAGGTGTACGAACGATCACGACAGCAGCGATGATGCGATGAAAGAAGACAGCCAGATGTTTTGGTCTGTGGCCTGCGACACATATGTGGGCAAGGTAAAGCGTGGTGACGGATGCACGAGTGACAGCTAAAGAGATCGTTGTGGTTGGAACGCTCGGCCGTGATGCCTTTTAAGCAATGGAGTGCCACTGGTTGTCGTACAAAAGTAGACTCAGATCGGACGAGAAGTGGTATATCTCTGCCCGCTTCATTTTGTATTTCTGCCCTGAGACAATTGCAAGTCTTCGAATAATATCATATCGATCCGTATAAGCGAAAAAACGTATACATTTGACACAGATACACAAAGGCATTTGTATCTATATAGTCTTCATTCAGGCAACAAGATTAATCGGTCCATGCAACGGCCTGACCCCGTTGCATGCTTCTTGGCTTTGGTACACGCGAATGATATCGATATGGATAAAATTGTGTTTGAATATCTCATAAACAGGTAATATGCACTGACTTATGCGAATTAAATGCTATAGGCTATTAAACCAATCAACAGAGCGTCCAATCGATGTTAAGCGCGCACATGAGGGCTAGTAGATGTTCACAGTTTTGTTTGCATTGATGCATAATTTGTAAGGCTGGATGAGATTTTTGGAAAAAGCATAACTACATGTGATACAGCTCGCTTATTACATTAGATTTACGACTAAGGTAAGTCTACTTGCTTACTTTTCACTCTTGTTTACGTAAGGTTACGAGGCAGGTGCTTACACTGTCATCATTGTAGATAAGCTTGTACTGCCATCAGCATAATGTCTTTCGTTCCACCTGGAAGCATACCGTTGTTCGTCTTTCGATCTCAGACTTATTCACCATCAAAGTGATGACAACGACCGCTTCCACGATTCGCGTAAGAACTTCAAATTCAAAGTGATATCGAATGGTCAAAGGTCGAACAAATAAGTTTGACCGTAAGTATCCAGACGCAAACGCCACGTTTTTGTTTTTCATAGGGGTGAGTTGTAACGAAGCACACCCTTGCGTGAACTTAACGCAAGGGTTGAGGTGCCCCGACAGACGTACACGAGGCAAACGAGGAAGCGTAGATAAGGGAAAAGTAAAACTGTTGTATTAATATAATTAAGTCTTTAACCACTGTATCTCTTGTTTGACTTAACTTAATTATACTAATCTAACTGAGTGTATGGTGACGTCTCGTCACCACTCATTGCGCGCGTCTTGCGGCGATTGGTGGGTTGATTTCATCAAGATATCAACCAATGAACCAGACCCTTTGGTCGACCCACCATTATCACCACTATCGGTGATATTGTTCAAAAAATATTCAACTTAATATTCTATATTGTCATTATCTCTCAAATAAAAATTTCCATGTAACGGGCTGCCCCGTTGCATACCCCCTTAACTGATAGTCACCGTGTGACTATCAAAAATATGGCGGCCACCCGATGGGCACCATTGGGACAGGGAGCACTTGTTGGGTCCGTTCCATTCACTTTCCGATTGACCTCGCATAGTTAACATGTCTATGCGAGGTGACTCAAGACCCGCACAGCCCGGTGCTGTGCCAGCCTCTGAGGCAGACGATTCGTCGTCTGCTGCTCCTTCTTCGCCTGCAGCAACAGGTGCTGCAGGTGCACGCGGCACCACACCGCGTGCGCATGATGACCCCGACGTTGAGGTCATCTACTCTGGCGAGTCAGACGTGTCTGACTCGGGCAATGATCCAGAGGCGTCTCGATCACCGGCGACGCCTCAGTATTCGCCAAGGCCACTGCCGAACGAACGGACTCGTGAGTTGCATCACAGTCTGTTCGGCAGTGATGATGAACGTGATCAGGGTGGTGAGGCATATTACTCCTTACCACCGCCGACTCGTGCCTCTTCTCACGAGCGTGATGCAATGGCGTGAGCCGTCGTCAATCTGGGAGCCGTGGTACCGACAAGGGTACCACTGTGAAGCGTGATGAGCTGAAGCCGTGGCGTTTGCCCGAACGGCTCATCAATAGCTTGTCTCACGAGACAGGCCAACACCATCGAATACCCTTATTCGATGCGACTGAGCTTCACGGCTTGAAATCCAGCGCGAAGAACTTTCGCGCTGAGGAAGAATTTTATCTCGATGTCTTTCTTCGACATCGATGGTACAACGGCAACCAAAAGCGTGACAAGGCCTTGCTTTTGGCTGCGTGGAAAGCGTTCGTCCAAAACGTAAAAAATTTTGGACGAGAAGGGTGGCTCAAGAAACTTGAGGCGACACGCCACAGGTTCGAAAAGCGAACGCCAAACGGTGCTAGGTACCGGTTGCATTGTTCATCGAGTGAGGTCGGTATTACTTGCCTCAAATGGGGAGACCCTTGTGCGAGTTCTGTTGACAACTCGCAGCGTGCACATAGGGACGTGTATTCCCTAAGTTCGCCCTGGGGAAGGGCACACATCTCGGCTGAGATGCGTGACGCGATTGCATACTTGCAATCCGTCTACAAGCGCCTAGGGCGCGTGTTTACCGATATGCCACAGGACCAATCGGATGAGTCTCGTCATACTGGCGGACGAGACCTTCAACGTCCATCAACAGCTGGGAGCGGGGCTCCCAGCTGTTCCAAGAGGGTGGATACCCCCGCCACTGGACGAGGTAGCTCGTCCTTGATCCTGAATCGTCACGGTGATTCAAGATACGCTCCACTAGAAAGCGTTGAACACCGTGAGCATCCACCAAAGGATGTGGTGGAGGAGGAAAGAACTCCTCCAGATGATTCGGCTCACCATCTCGACCCTTACGAGATGGATCGCGCAATCGATGAATTGCGCGATGACTTGAAGCACGAGCGCGACCGGCGCTACGCTTTGACTGATACCGTGCGGAAGAACCGCAAACATCACGAGGCTGATCGGGCGAGGAATCGCGCCGATTATGCCACGGCGCAGCTTCAGGTCGAGCGGGATGTCCGCTCCCTATTCGGCGAGCTG